GCTGCAGCGAAGAGGGTGTTGCGCTACTTGTGCAGTACGTCGGGCATGGGGCTTGTGCTTGGAGGGCAGAGTCCAGTGGTCCTTACTGGGCACGCAGACGCTTCTTGGGCTGACGACCAGGCTACGCAGCGGTCGTCACAGGGTTACACCTTCAGCCTTGGTTCCGGCTCTGTTTCGTGGCGGGCTACTCGCTCGTCTTCTGTTCTCGGCTCCAGTTGTGAGGCTGAGATCTACGCAGGAGCCATGGCTGCACAGGAGCTTCGCTGGCTCACCTACCTGCTGACTGACCTCGGAGAGCCGCCTCGTTCTCCTCCAGTGCTGTACGTAGACAACAAGGCCATGCTGGCCTTGTGTCGGGAGCAGCGACTGGAGCACAGAACGAAGCACATTGCTCTCCGCTACTTTCTTGCTCGTGAGCTGCAGCAGCGTGGTCAGCTGCGTCTTGCGTACGTGGCCTCTGAGGCCAACACTGCTGATATCTTCACCAAGGCGCTTGCGCCTTGTGACCATCAGCGCTTCTGTACTCAGCTGGGCCTTGTGCCTACCTTGCCTCACTTGCTCACCTCTTGACCGTGCTTGTACTGTTACATATATATATACCTGCTCTTGCTTGTCTAGCATTTTTATATATATATGTACTCCTGCATGTGAACTGGCCTTGTGGCCTTCAACTTGTGCTCGGAATGTGTGGTGACTTTGTGATCCACCCTGAGCTTGCTTTGCTTTGCTTTACTTGACTGGTTTTGTGACCCCTTGTTCTCCCCCACTTTGCCTATGGGGGTGTGTCAGAACAATATAGCTCATGCATATTGTGTAGGCTATAGTGGGGTAGCCCATAAGGGGTACAACCCAATTAGGGTGATTACTTGTACTCAATTCATTCATAGTTCATTCATTCCTTGTTTTTTCTCAGCCCTCAGCTGCTGTAGCCTTGTTGTTTGCTCTGCTTGTTTTCATTTTCTATATATCCTAGTGAACTCTTGAACTGGCCTTGTGGCCTCTTGTTTGTGCTCGGAGTGTGTGGTGACTCTGAGCGCCACCCTGAGCTTTGTTGTTGCTGCTTGTTCTTGACTGGTCTTGTGACCGTTGTTTCGCTTGCTGGTCTTTGGGTACCCCTCACTTAGCCTATGGGGGTGTGTCAAATGCATATAATTGTTATAGGCTGCAGTGAGGTACTCCCTAGAGAGTACAACTCAGTTAGGGTTGCTACTTGTATTGCTTCTCAACCCTAATGCAAACATTCCGTTGCTTCTACTTATGAGAATGTTCAAGTGCGAAACTTCTAAACATGTTTAGAGTTAAAAATAAAGTTATGTTTAGGGTCTTTTATAAACTCAAACATGTGAAAAGGGATGCACTTATAATAAGTACATGGTTCACATGGGGTGCGCTTATAATTGAGTTCCGGCCATAAGCGCCATGCTCCAGATAGAAGCTCCGGCGCCTTTAATTGGACGGCGCTTATATCCGGGGCCATACGGTAAAAGATGACAAGAAAGGTAAGGGATGGGGGAAAGTGCTGAAGTGAGGCATTCATCTAAGTGTCATATATACTGCTTGTGCTGGTTGGCCATGATGTACACTGGACCATTATTGCTGGTTGACCATTCTTGACAATGGTGGTGTTCTGGTGACTCCTGCGGGGGGGGGGAGGGGGGCGAAGGTAAATGATGATCGTTCCGAGGGTGTTTCGGGGCTGGATTTCACCCCCTCCAGCTACAACCGAAGATGGGAAATTTCGGGCGCGAGGGGGGGAAGGCTCCGACGGTAAATGAAGAACCAGTGGGTACATTTTCGTGATCCAGAAACGGGGCTATCGCTATTGGCGCTAAATGGCAAGAAGGGATAGAAACAAAAACCTGGGTGTCTCGATCTCGAAAAAAGTGAGTGGAGAGGGAGTTGTGAGTAGCTCATTAGGGTTTGCACTTCGTGCACAAAGAAGGCTGCGTGGTTTTTTTTTCCTGATTCTTGTGCGTGTGTTTGGGCTAAGCAGTCCAGCAGTCTCTATTTCACGGGTAGCATTTCGGTGTTCCCTCCCCCAGCTCCTCTCTTCCCTGGCTGTCGCACTTCCCCGTGAAGAGTGGTTGCCGGAAGGCAAAGCGAGGGAGGCAAAATTTGCTTGAGGAGGAAGGTGGGGAGGGTAAATGTGCAGCTTCCAATGGGTGCAAATCCCTGAGGGTAAATGAGCGTTCTGTTGGCATTTACCTTCGTTTAGGTTCGGAGGGCAAATAGATGGCTCGGCACGGTTTTAAGGGCTGACCGTCGTGTCGAGCCAAAAATCGCAGAGAGGGGAAGATTCCTATTTCCCCTCGCCCCCCCTCCGCCAGTGCCTAGGCCCAGTTCTGTTGCCGCACTACTGGTGCGGACCCCTCCGCACAGCACTAGATGATGCTTTGTGACGGCCTCTACCGGTGATCCTCGAAGATTCCATTCCAAGGGCACATTCCTTGAATCAGGCTCGGGACCTTGAACTCTATCCTGAACCTGGCTAGTGCTGTGCTGTGCTGTGCGGCCCACCTAGCGCAAAAGAACGCTGCACTAGTAGTGCTGTGCTGTCCCCTCCTCCTAGGCAAACTGGGTGCGAGACTGGTGCAATACTGGTTCCCGCTCGGAGCGCGGACCCAGGGATAGCACAAGTAGTTCCGGGCAGGGACAAATGCCACGGAAAAAACATGTTTCGGGGGAAGGCAGTGCCCCATCGGTGAAGAGAATTAGTTTTGGTACTGGTTGGCTCTATTGCTCCAGGCCAACCAATTCTCGTCGCGGAAAACATTTTAACGGTCTGCAAAGTTATTTTTTTACAAACCCCCCCGCAGTTGCGCGTAGGGTGGCAGGAAGCTGTATCGCACCACCGTGGGGGTTCCTGGCTTTGCAGAAGCACCCAGCCGCACCAGTGGTGCTGTGCTGTGCTGTCCGCCCTCCATTTGCCGCTGGGCAACATAACAGGGCCCTAGAGAGGGAAAGTACATCCCAGCTCCTTAGTTTATAAAATATCTCAAATTTAGTTATAAGTTTACCAAAATAGTATACCTTTGTGGAATTTCGCTCAAGCGAGGCCCACATTATGTTCAAAACTGGTCCTGCCGGGCACACATTTCGACACGTGTCCATTTCGCACCAAGAAATATTTGACGGGGCAAAAAACCATAATACCCCTAGGGAAACATGACACATTTTCGGGAGGGATCAACCCTAAACACCAAGCGGGTTCCCGTGTTTAGGGTTGATCCCTCCCGAAAAAATGTCCTGGTTTCCCTAGGGGTTTTATATTTTCTGCACCGTCAGAAATTCCTGCTGTGAAAACGGACACGTGTCGAAAGGTTAGCCCCGCAGGACCTGTTTTGAACATACTTTGGGCCTCTCGTGAGAGAAATTAGAGAAAGTGGTACTTTTTGAGTAAACCTGGGGCTAAATATGAGAGAAATCTGAAAGTAAGGAGCTGGGATGTACTTTCCCCCCTAGAGAACACCACCTGGGGCTAGGGTAGGACTTCTGCAGGACGGCGTTCCCAGCATCGCTGACATCCGCCGTCTCCTCTACGCTGCACAACCGCTTAACCACCACCTCCGATGGACCCGTCATCTCATCTCTCCTCCTCCTCCTCTCCCCGATCTCAAGCACGCGTTCCTCAAAGACCAGCCGAGCCGCCAGCGGGACGTCCTGTTCAGGCTTTACACTCTCACCCTCCCCTCTGGGTCACGCTTCCAGTACTTCGACGACAGGGGGATATGCCCCCGATGCCCAGCCGCTGTCGTCGAGACTCTGCCGCATATCTTCTTCGAATGCTAATTCGCTGGCAACGTCATCTCTGCTCTACGCACTGTTGCTGACCGCCACCTCGGACAATCTACGCCAGAACACCACATCTTTTTCCCACTACAGTCACGGGTGGGCCAGTCCCCTCCGTGGAGCCTACTGGTGGGATTGGCAGTTAAGACACTGTGGCAGGCATGCTGTGACCACAGATATCACAATTCCTCCTCATCTAGTTTTGAGATCCTGCAGCTGATATTAGCTCAATTCCTCATCGCCTTCAAGATTTATTTGTGGAGAAGCAGACGGCAATCTACCAAGAAGCGCCAACGCACATCTTCCAGTATAAAGCGAGCACAAAAGCTTCGCTTCCTCCTCTTTGATAGACGCGGCATACCATCTATTCACCCCGACCTTAGACGCTCATGGCTCCTAGGGAACCCCTTCCAACCCCCGTAAATAGCCACTGCATAGAGCGTCTCCCCAGGTTTCTGGTGGTTGTCCGTTCGGACAAGGAAATAACGTGTGATCCACGTGCTCCTTATAGGATGCTGGCCATCTTGGCCATGTTTCTAGATAGCTCTATGATTTGTACATGCTGTACACTGATTACGATCAATACATAACCAATCTAGAGAACACCAATCTCGAGGTTGTGTCAGACCTCGATTTTTCCTGTGCAGCCGAGCCCAGCCACGGCTTGGCTCCGGTTGTTCGAGCCTCTTTCACTGGTCATCTTTCGAACCTACAAACCATACCCTGGAAGCTCAAACCACACACACGCAGGTTCGGGGGCACTAAAACCGTTGCTTGTTTGAAAACATCGACGGTGCACAAACACTCTGCTCGTTCGAAGTCGAGCCAACCAACGGACAGGCTCGGACTGAGCGGCGTCAGGCTTTTGTTTCATCACTCTCTACTGCCGCCTTCACACCCCTTCCCTTCTCATATCAGCTGCCACACATTTCAGACTCGCCATCGTTCAGGCTCGCCGCCACCTCAGTTGTTGAGGAGTAAGAACCGCATGGCAAGATTTGGCAGTAATCCAGTCACCTAGAGCCACATCCTGACTCCCCTTACGGGAGCATCGATCACGTGGCAACAGGGCTCAGACTCCCTATCATCCTCCCAACTTTCAGCAGTTCACATTGTGAACGTCAGTTCATAGCTACTAACATTGTCCAAACACTACTGACCATTTGACTTCTTAGCAAAGCTCCCTCATTTTTTTCTCCTGCATTCCGCAAATGGATTATCCGAAGCTTCCGCCGGTGAATGTCAAGCTTGAGGGCGACGCGACTTTGCAACTGAAAGAGCAGAGCCGCGATGCCGAGCCGCTGTCACCAACGGCTCGTTTCTTTCTCTCTGACGACTTCTACACGACTGTCCTGTGCGCGCTGGAGTTTAAAGACCGCATGGAGATCGACGAGCTTAGAGCGATTCTCTCGGATACCCTTTTGAAGCATCCCCGCTTTCATAGTCGAATGGTAAGGAATCTCGTTCAAAACTGATACCTTGGTAGACGAAGGAGGACTAACATCTTAAACCAAGCCAAGATGGGTGCGAAACTCTGTTGTTAGGTTTTCAAAACGACACGCAATGACCCCGTAGTCTTTTCAATCACATAATAGCTGAATTCGTTCGTGCCGTCCCCACGCTTCAAAGGAGCTCCAAAATGCCTCCCCATCTGAAATGCGTCAGCTCGTCACATTCCAGTCCCAACCGGATTACGCAAAGTGGCGATTCCGTCCCAGCGGATTACGCAAAGCGATCTCCTCGCCGTTCTCTTCCACCAATTTTCACTTCATTTCTGTGTGCGTGCTGCTGTGTTTTCCTTACGTGACCTCCGTCATGCAGGAGCATCGTGGCCGTTGTAAGGGCGGAGAGCAGGTGTGGGTGCGGTCGACCGTCGACATGGCCTACCACGTCGTGGAAGGCACCCCGCCCGACGGAGGTGACAATAACGAGGGCGGCGCGGAGCACTCCGTCACACAAACAGATGAACGCGACAGTAGCGCGGAAGCAGCAGGAAGCATGGAACGAGCTACAAGACCAGCACAATCGGAAGGATGTGCAAAGCCAGCGGCAGACACAACAAGCGCGAGCCAGGAATCGGCGTGCTACGAGGCGGGGAGCATGGAGTGGCACATGCGGCGCCTGCAGCACCAGCCGCCCTTCGACGCCTCCCGCCCTCTCTGGCGCGTGCACCTCGTGCCTCTGCCTCATGGCCGCTCCGCTGCGCTCTTCCGGTACAACACCTGAAAGCATGATAGGAACCACTGTTGCGAATGCTGAAACAGGGGTTTTTCAATATCTCTGGTGCGTGCACCTCGTGCCTCTGCTCCACGGCCGCTCCGCTGCTCTCTTCCGGTACGACACCTGTTAGCTCACTCACATATTGCGCGTGTATCCGAGTAACACGGCTTATGAGGCGCCTCAAAGTCTCTCTCTGGCGGATCAACCTCGTGCCTCTGCCCCACGACCGGTCGGCTGCTCTTTCCCCTTCCTCCCCACTCCCCCTCCCCGCGGCCCATTCACAGCATCCACCACTGCCTGAGCGACGGAGTGTCGTTCATGCCTCTATCTCCCTCTCCCACCCTACCCAATTACCTGTTCCCGCCCACCCCCCTTTTCCCCCCACCTCCTCCCGCCCGCCCATGTGCAGCTTCCACCACGCCCTGGACATGTCGCTCATTCGTCCATCTCCCCTCCCCTTCCCCCTTCCCCACACCCTCTCCCCATGCAACAACCCCCTCCCTCCTCCCCCCCCCCCCCTCTCCCGCCCCCTTTCCCTATGCGGAGCATGCACTTCTCCCTGGGCAACGAAGTGTCCCTCATGTCTCCAAGTTCCTCCCCCATCCACCCTACCCAACCCGTACCCCGGCTCGGCCCCTCTCCCGTTCGTCCCCCCTTCCCCCCTCTCCTCCTTTCCCCTGTCCCTCCCGCCCTCGCCCCCGCAGCATCCACCACGCCCTGGGTGACGGAGTGTTCCTCATGTCTCTAACTCCCTCTTCCTTCCTCCAATCCGACCCATCCTCACGCTCTTCCCTTTCCCCTTCCCCCTCCACCCACCCGCTTTCCCCCCTTCTCTCCCGCCCGTTCGCAGCATCCACCACGCTATGGGCGATGGAGACTCGCTTATGTCTCTATCTCCCTCCGAACCCATCCCACCCATTTCGCCCCTCGGCCCTCTTCCCTCCCCCATTCCGCCCTCGCCCCTGCAGCATCCACCACTCTATGGGCGAAGGAGTGCCGCTCATGTCACTCACTCCCTCTTCCCACCCACCATTCTTCTGCTCGCCCCTCTTCACCCCCTCCTCCCCTCCTCGTTCGCCCCTGCCCATGTGCAGCATCCACCACTCTATGGGCGACGGCGTGTCGCTCATGTCTCTCCTGCTGGCCTGCACTCGCCGCACCGACAACCCCGCCCTCCTGCCCACCCTCCCCACCGCCAAACGCCAGACCCACCCCCAGCCCGGCAGTGAGACTCGCCCCCAGCCGAGCAGTGGCGCCGCAGCGGCGGAGGTGCAGGAGAGTGAGGAGCTGCGGAAACAGATGGGTGACGCGAGTGGGCCTGAGGAGGAGGAGCAGTTAAAGCAGTTAAAGCCCGGGCCGGCGCACATGCCGTCTGCAGCGTCAGCATTCACTCTTGACTCGATGACTGAATCGCCGTTCGCCCCAGACCCACTCGGGCAGGCAGCAGCAGAAGCAGCAGCAGCACCCGCAGACGGGGTTACTGCAGATGCGGGTGGGAGTGCGGGTGCTGGTGGTGGGGGTGCCATGGGGAAAGGGGCAGGGGCAGCACGGAAGAGAGGGGGAGGGGGAGGGGGAGGGGGAGGGGGAGGGTTGGTGGGTGTGGGGAGGTGGATGTGGCAAGTGGTAGCTGTTCTGGGGAACACGCTGTGGCACGTGTCGACGTTCATGGCTGTGCTGCTGTGGCGCGCTGATACTGCCACGTGTGTCAAGATGAAGCCGGGGAGTGGTGGTGGCGCACAGAAGAAGGCGGGGAAAGGGGGAAAGGGAAGCAGTGCAGTGCTGCAGCAGCCGGAGGAGGGGAAAGGGGAGGTGCAGACAGCCGAAGGGGAGGTTGGGGGAGGGGGTGGGAGCGGAAATGGTGGGGGGAGGTTTGTGTTTGGAGTGAGTGGGCCGCTGAGCCTGACTGACATTTCAAGGGTCAGACGCGCCTTTGGTGCGGTGAGTCCTGTGGGGCTGCGCGCTGTTTTGAGGATTCCCGGAGGCCAACTGAGGTTGATTCGTAGATAGTGGGAGGATACTTGTGCTTGGAGTGATTTGCAGCAATGAGCTTGGCTGACCTTTCAAGGATCAGATGCACCTTTGGAGCGATGAGTCGTGTGGGATTGAGCATGCTTTGCTGTGACATGCCATGCCAGGTCGTGCCACACTGTGCCGTGCCATGCCAGGTTGTGCCACACTGTGCCGTGCCATGCCACACCGTGCCATGCCACACCGTGCCATGCCATTAGGAGGGTCAGATGAGCTTTTGGAGCGGTGAGTCCCATGGGGTTGGCCGCGCTTTGCTGTGTTGTGGAAAGCGTATGCAATATCACTCACTGTGCATTGCATTGTAATATCTGTAATGCATTGCAACCGTTGGGCGAATAACGAACGGCGCCAATGTGATCACATACTTGACCTCCCCTTCCTTCCACATCCCCTCTCTTGCGCCTCCCCTTCCACATCCCGATCATTCCACACCCCATCAGTATCATCTTGATGGTCATTTCAGGGGGACTTCACCACTACCTTTTGAGTCAACTCAGTAGATCGGAGTGTAGAGCCAACTCTTGAGTCAAGCTAATAACGAAAAATAAACCCCTTCGACACCCCCTTCCACACCCCCTTCCACACGCCCATTCAGACCATCAACGATGTGATGGTGACGGTCATCTCAGGCGGGCTTGATCGCTACCTGCGCCACCACCATGAGCAATCAGAGCGAGCAGGTGAGTTGGAGTATGGTGTATCCTCCTCACCAGGTCTCGACCACACCACACCCCACCGCCACCTGCGCCACCACCACGACCAAACAGAGAATGCTGGTGAGTGGGAGCATGGTATATACTCACGAGGGCTGGATGGACCGCACGCCCATTCAGACCATCAACGATGTGATGGTGACGGTCATCTCAGGCGGGCTTGATCGCTACCTGCGCCACCACCACGACCAGCAGGCACAGAGAGCAGGTGAGTGGGAGCACGGTATGGTACACACTCACCAGGGCTCCCCTTCCGTCCACACCCCATCAGACCATCAACGACGGTCATCTCAGGCGGGCTTGATCGCTACTTGCGCCACCACCATGACCAGCAGGCACAGAGAGCAGGTAGGCTCGAGCATGTGTGATGTGACGACGGCTGAGAGAGCAGGTGAGTGGGACATTGGTATACACTCACCAGGGCTCGACTGCTCACGCGTCCCCTACTCTCTCCCTCTGCCAACTCCTGGCAACCCTACCCTCTTTTTCTGCCAGCTCCTCACAACCCTACCCTCTTTTTCTGCCAGCTCCTCACAACCCTACCCTCTTTTTCTGCCAGCTCCTCACAACCCTACCCTCTTTTTCTGCCAGCTCCTCACAACCCTACCCTCTTTTTCTGCCAGCTCCTCGCAACCCTACCCTCTTTTTCTGCCAGCTCCTCGCAACCCTACACTCTTTTTCTGCCAGCTCCTCGCAACCCTACCCTCTTTTTCTGCCAGCTCCTCACAACCCTGCCCTCTCCCTCTTCCAACCAACCATCCATCCACTCCTCTAACTTTTCTCCTGTTCACCCTCCTCATTGCTATTCCCCTTTTGCTTCCAGGAGAGCCTGCCCCAGTTGCCACCTCCCCACTACCTGCCACTGTTCGCCTCAGCGCTGTCTGTGTTGTCAACATCCGCCCCGCTCCTGGACTTCAGGTAGACCGTCCCCAGGTAAACCCGGTGTTCTGATTCACCAGTTCTGGTACACCTGGCAACTACTTGAACCTGTCAGGGGCCAGCTTGCTCGTAGGACTGCCAGTGCAGCTTCTAGTGGAGGTCAGTCAAGTCAATCCACCTACACACGTTCGTGCTACATCTATTGCACTGCACCGCACTGCCATGCACACCGCCGCACAGCACTGTGTGTGCATCCACTTTCTATTCCTCAGCTCCTGTGACTGATCTTCCATTATATCTCTCCTAACTCACCTTCTCCTCTGCCATTTCACCCCGTTCCTCCTGTCACCATCACTGCCTTTCTCTTCTCCAACCTTCCCTCCCCTACCTCCCTTTTCCTCCGATCCCCTTTGCCTCCTCCCAGGAAATATCATCCAAGCTTGCTGGCCGATCCAAGGCACGCTGGGGCAACTGCACTGTCTCCGCTTGTCCACCCCTCCCCTTCCCTTTGCCGCCCCGTCTTCCCTCCACCCCTTGTTTCCCTCCCAGGAAATATCCTCCATGCTCGCTGGCCGATCCAAGGCATGCTGGGGCAACTGTACCGTCTCCCCTTGTCCACCCCTCCCCTTATCTTTGATACCTTTGCCGCCCTATCTTCCCCACTTCCACCCTTTTCCCTCGCAGGAAATATCCTCCATGCTTGCAGGCCAATCCAAGGCACGCTGGGGCAACTGCCTTGGAACCTTCCTGCTGGCCCTGCCCGTGCAGTCGCCTGCACTCACCAAAGCTGTGCAGGCTGACAGCAGGGACAGCAAAGGCAGCAAAGGGAGCAAAGAAGGGAGCGCAGCAGGGGAGGTGGAGGGAATGATGAAGAGCAAAGAAGGGAATGCAGCAGGGGAGGTGGAGAAGCGGCGGCTGCGCATGGTGGCAGGCATGTGTGCGTCCAAACGGCAGTCCCTGGAGGCTCATTACAACTATGTCAACGCGAGGCTGGTGCTCGCTACTGCGGGCATGAAGGTGAGCGAGCTGTGTCACTGAGGTGACCTTTGAGGCGCCTCAAAAGGCTGCGCATGGTGGCGAGCATGTGTGCGTCCAAACGGCAATCCCTGGAGGCTCATTACAACTATGTCAATGCGAGGCTGGTGCTCGCTACTGCCGGCATGAAGGTGAGCTGTGTGTTACCTCCCAATGGTGACGCGCAAAGAAGGTGACACAATGGGGAAGGTGGAGGGTGTTGGGTGCGCATGGTGGCGAGCATGTGTGCGTCCAAACGGCAGTCCCTGGAGGCTCATTACAACTATGTCAACGCGAGACTGGTGCTCGCTACTGCGGGCATGAAGGTGAGCTGTGTGTCGCCACCCAATGGTGAGGAGCAAAGAAGGGGATGCAGTGGGGAGGTGGAGAGGCGGCGGCTGCGAGGCACATTACAACTATGTCAATGCAAGGCGCTTGCTTTTGCTTTTTCAACGCTCAACGCTCAATCTCAGGCAGCAGGGGGCCTTTTGAGGGGGCCTGACCGCTTTTGAGGCGCCTCAAAAGGCCTGACTGCTTGTGCCATGCCACCTCGGGTTGGGAACAACCCTCTCCTTCTCCAACATGATGGGGCCCGTGGAGGAAGCTTCTCTCCTCAGCAACCTCCCTATCTCCAACCTCTTAACCTATCCAAACTCCTCTAAACCCTCCCGTCCCAGGCAGCATGCACCCTGGTGATGGGGCGGCTGCTCAGTCAAACGACCATCTCATTCTCCAACATGATGGGGCACGTGGAGGAGGCCCTAATCCTCCTTGTCCCCTCCACAACCCCTCTTAACCTCTTCAAACCCCCTCTAAGCCTCTGCTAACCTCTCCCTACCGTCCCAGGCAGCATGCACGCTGATGGGGTGTCTGCTCGACCAGACAACCATCTCATTCTCCAACATGATGGGGCCCGTGGCGTGGAGGAGGTCAGCCTGGGGGGCATGCCATCGAGCGCATCAACCCTCTAAATCCCTTTAAACCCTCTCTAAACTTTTCTAACCCCCGGTAAACCCTTCCAGTCAGCATGCACGCTGATGGGACGCCTGCTGGACCAGACAACCCTCTCCTTCTCCAACATGATGGGGCCCGTGGAGGAAGTGAGCCTGGGAGGACATGCCATTGAGCGTATCAGCCCCACCGTCCTGGGACAGCCACATGTGAGTCATGTGAGATGGGTGATGGGTGCGTGTGAGTGATGTGTGATGAGTGCATGTGTGCATGCGAGGTGCCCGTGGAGGGGGTGAGCCTGGGAGGACATGCCATTGAGCGTATCAGCCCCACCGTCCTAGGACAGCCACATGTGAGCCATGTGTGATGGGTGCATGAGTGATTGGACGATGATTGCACGTGAGGTGCTGTTGGGGCCTGTGGAGGGGGTCAGCCTCGGGGGGGGTATGCCATCGACCGCATCAGCCCCACCGTTGTGGGTCAGCTGCATGCGAGTGACGTGTCATGGGTGTATGTGAGTCGTGGATGCTGGGCTGGGTGTATGTGAGTCATGTGTGCTGGTGGTATGTGAGTCATGTGTGCTGGTGGTATGTGAGTCGTGGGTGCTGGGTGTATGTGAGTCATGTGTGATGGGTGCATGTGGGAGTGATGTATGATGGGTGCATGAGAGAGTGATGTGGCATGGGTGGATGTGAGAGTGATGTGCCATGGGTGCATGTGAGAGTGATGTGTCATGGGTGCATGTGATGTGAGAGTGATGTGCCATGGGGCAGCACACATAATACTTTTCCCAGAAATCACTCTTCCCTTTCCCCCTCAGGCACTCACGCTGCATTTCCAGACATACAATGGGGCGGCACACATAGTGCTGTCAGGCGTGAGGGAGAACCTTTCGGATCCAGCCTTGTACCGCACTGCATCCCACAATCCCCCCCCCTACCTTCTATCTCCCTCTTCCCCCTCCCCCTTTTTCAGGCGCTCACGCTGCATTTCCAGACATACAACGGGGCGGCACACATAGTCCTCTCAGCCTTGAGGGAGAATGTGCCGGATCCAGCCTTCCTCATGCGTTGCTGTGAAGACGCCTTTGCTGCTCTCCAGGCATCGGTGCATTGAAGCTGCTCTATTTCCAAAGCGCTTCTGCTTCACTGATTCAACATCTCTTGCAAGCCGCTCCAAGACACTGTTTAGCCTTGCCGCAACCAAGTAGTAATTTGGGTTGGTGATGCGACGCCGTGTGGCGACATTCGGTGTTACATGCACGTGGTTTAGGGATAGTTGCACATGTCCGTGCACATGTCATTACAATAACACTCAAAAACTACCATTGCGAAACACTCGCTTCAGTTCAGTGCCAGTTTCTTTGTTCTTTCTAGAATCTTGCGATTTTGTGTTGTTGTTCAGGTTCATTTATTGGTGTATGGTTCGTTTCTAGTGCTGCGCAAGCATATTTTGTTTCTTGTCAATGATTGAACAAGGATTGCATACCTGTATTAATAACGAGTAGAAAACAGTACTTTCCAAGTCAATTTTATCTCGAAGAATGTAGTACAGATTGTATGAATCCCGTTAATTTGTAAGAGCTGTACCTCAGTGTTACACGAGAATCAAGGCCCGTTGATAAAGAAGATGCGAAGCATGGGATAATATCTAGGCGCTTTTCTCCAGCATGGGCTGGCGGCTGAATCCATGGCACCCATTCATTTACCGCCTAGTTTCTCACATCTCAGGTGCTTCACCTACGCAGGAGAAGCTTTGGCCAAAGTGAGATTTCCCCTTAGTTTAGATTATGGGAGATCCGGTTTGAATTTTCGTTCATAGGCTCGCGAAAGGCTTTGTAATTCGTCATGGACAGCCGGTCCGCAGCTCGTCGCTCGTCAGAAGCGAAATCGGGATCGGATTCGGAAGGAGCGAACGACATGCGAGACGAGGAACGCGGGTGGAGCCCGTCGGAGGGAAGCGAGGGGTCGAGCGACGGCAGCAGAGGCGCGGAGGAGGCGCAGCGCGGAAATAACGCACGGAGAGCGGCGGCGGAGGCTGTAGCAGAGGCGGAAGAAGATTCAGGCGTGCGGGAAGTGGAGGAAGAGGAACTAGGGGATGAGGCGGAGGCGGAGGAGGGGGAGGAGGGGGAGGAGGAAGGGGAGGAGGGGGACGACGATGCGGATGAGCCTCCTGAGGAGTCTTTTCAGCCTTTTCAGTTTGCGCCCGATTCCCCTCCCCCCGCGGCTCTTCCGCTCCCCGAGATGTCCCCCGCGCCCTTGGAACGCGCGCGAGTCACGACCCCATCTGACGACGACGAGGATGATGATGACGTGGCGGATGACGACGATGACGTGGACGAAGATCGTCGTACGGGCCCGCGGCTGCCACGTCGGCCTGCGAGAGCCGCAGGATCCACTCGGGCTGTAGCGCGGGGGGCGGCTGTAGCGCCGGAGATGACTGTAGCAGATCTGGAGTTCCCAGGGTCGCTGCTGGGGACGATCGTGGACGGGTTGGGCAAGTGGCCTTGGACGGTCTGGCCTAACCACATGCGCTCCTGCCTCGCTGCTGCTGCTCGTATACTGCACGCCGCCGCTGGTGATGCTGCTGATGCGGCTGGTGCAGCACCTGTCGCAGCAGGCCCAGGCGATTCAGGTCCCATAGTGAGTCCCGCGGTGCGCGCAGAGGCGCAGCGGCTGATGCGACGCGCTGTGCTGAAACGCAAGCTGGCTACGCTCTTCAGAGAGGCTGCTCCCAGCCTGTTTGAGAAGTGCCTGGACGACCGCGCCATCTGGAAGTGGGGACGCGACGTACATGGGAATATCTTCGAGGCGTTTGTTTCCCTTATGGATGTGATTGTATTGAAGCTGCCTGATTTGATTATAGCGAGGGAGGTTCTGGCGGATGCAGCGGCTGCTGCTGCTGGAGACGGGGTGATGGTGGGTGGGGGGGAGGGGGACGGGCAGAAGGAGAGAGTGAGGGAGAGGAAGGAGGAGGTTGAGGAGGCAGAGAGGAGGAGTGTGGAGGTAGAAGAGGAGATAGCAGCGCTTCTAACAGCCATGGCGCAGGGATGGGACAGCACGTGCCAGTTCCACTGCAAGCACAAGAACGAGCAGCTCCCACGTGTCGCGCCGCGATTGGACCGCCCGTGCTTCTACGCCATCTCCCTGCCTCTAGACCCCGCCCCAATCGGCCCCTCCCTCCCCGGAACCCAGGCGCCTGGGGGAAGGAGAGGCGCGGGGGGAAGGGGGGAGCTGGGGGAAGAGGGGGAGGGCGGAAACGTGGGCTCACACCAGTGGCTGGTGCGGTTTCTGAATTACTTTGGGCAGACGACATACGGGAATGGGTATGAGCGCGTGGTGCATGTGCTTCGGAAGCTCATGGCAGGGTTCAAGAGGCAGTGCTATGCGCATGTTGCCAGGATGAAAGCGCTCAGGAAGGCAGGGTCACCGCCCCCATCACCGTCACCTTCGCTCCCTCGCCTGCCCGCCCCGCGCATGCCTCTGGTGGTGGTAGAAGCGCTGCTGCGCCCCCTGGCAACGGCAGCAGAGTTCCTCACTCCTCACGTCGGCAACATGCTGCTGGTGGTGGGTGGTTGGCGGGACTCAATCCGCGCCTGTCGTCTAGTCCAGCTTGTAACTACAAGCTTTGTTCTCGATTGATGTTATGTTGCGTTCACGTTGTGCGTTCGTCTCCTCTGCCTGCTTACGCTGATTCAAGAGTTTGCCGTGCTCCTTGGCTGGTAACAGCAGCTGCTTCAGAGTTTTCTCACTCTCTCCACACACCAAGCAACATTCTGTTGCTGCCTGGGCAGATATCTCGTTGCTTGGTGAGCGAGGGGCACAGTTCGCTTCACGCTCTTGACAGATATCTCCTTGCTTCACAACATGTGTCCCTCGCTCCCGTCACTGTCTGCGCCTCACCCACTCCCCCCCGCCAGCCGTGTCGAGCCGTGCTGCTGGCAATAACGCACATCATCACCCATGCTCATGTTTCCCCTCTCGCTGCCCCTCCCTCCCTCCCTCCCTCCCTCCCTCCCTCCTTCCCTCCACCAGCCGTGCCGAGCCGTGCTGCTGGGCAGGCATAGCGCAACCACTTAATTTCGCTCAACGAGGGGCCCAGGGATGGCTCCTTCCAGTGCCTCTCACTCACCCTCTTCCCCCTGCCTGCCCCCTCCTCTCTCTGAATAGAGCGCATACCCTGTGTGCCCCCTCCTCCTCCCTCCCTCACTCTGTTCCTCACCAGCCGTGCCGAGCCGTGCTGCTGGGCAGGCATAGCGCAGTGCATCAGCAGCAACCGCATTGATTCACTCAACGAGAGCCCCCGGGACGGCTCCTTCCAGTGCCTCTCGCTCACCCTCTTCCCCCTGCCCCCTCCGCCCTCCCTCACCCTCTTCCCCCTGCCCCCTCCTCCCTCCTGTACCCTCACCAGCCATGCACAGACGTGCTTGTTGCCATAACGCGGTGCGTCACTGGTAACCGGATGGATTCACTCAACGAGGGCCCCCGGGACGGCTCCTTTCAGTGCCTCTCGCTCACCCTGCGCCACGTGCGCGCGCTGCTCGCCCTGCCCTCCTCTGCTCGCTCCGTGCGCTCCAGTCTCTTTGAAATTGAGATGGCAAACGAGGAAGCGGATGCAGTGGAGGAGGAGGACGAGGAGGACGAGGATGACGTACCGGATGGGTATGATGATGCGGAGGTGGCAGCAGAGGCAGTGGTGGGGAGGGTGCAGAGATGCATGGTGCAGCGCATGCTGGGAGCGCCTTCTTTCAGCAAGCAGTTATCAGCTGCCAGGGAGATCAACCGCATGCTAGAAAGTTCGGCTGCTCTGGAGATGAGGTGAGCTTGTTGGTGGGTCGGTGGGTGTCAGGGGGGAGCAAGCATGGTGCGGCGCATGCCGGGAGCGCTGTCGTTCAGCAAGCAGCTGTCGGCTGCCAGGGAGGTGAACCGCATGCTCTCAAACGAAGGAAACGGATAGAAAGCTGCAAGCTCGGTTCGACCGACCTAACTAATCTGAGTAGAAAAATTCACTGAGTACTAGGCGAGAACACAGCAAGCAGCTGTCGGCTGCCAGGGAGGTGAACCGCATGCTAGAAAGTTCCGCTGCTCTGGAAATGAGATCAGTGAGGTGTCGTGTGGCATTCTGGGTGCGGATGAGATGAGGTGAGCTGGGGCTGAGGTGAGGTGGTTGATTATGAGTGGAGTAGTGGGGGCGGTGCAGAGGTGCATGGTGCAGAGGTGCATGGTGCAGAGGTGCATGGTGCAGAGGTGCATGGTGCAGCGCATGCTGGGAGTGCCTTCCTTCAGCAAGCAGTTATCGGCTGCGAGGGAGATTAACTGCATGCTGGACAGCTCAGCTGCACTGGAGATGAGATGAGATGAGGTGGTTTGGTGGAGTGATGGGTGTACGGGGCAGGCAGCATGGTGAGGCGCATTCAGGGCCATGAGACTCTCTGGCGGTTTTTTTCTGTTTTGTTTTGAAAATATTACGTGCCATGCCATGTGCTGCCGTGTGTATGTCATTTGGCTTCTGATACAATTAAGAGTTTGAGTGAAGTCAGAAATAAAAGTTATGATCCTGTTCCCTGATGTGCCATGTGTGTGTGAATTCAGGGACAAGGGGGCATCCGTGGCGTCAACAATTGACTGGATGGAGGCCAAGGAAATTCTGCCACTTGTCCTGCGCTCCAACCTGCACCACAAGCAATACGTGGACCAGGTGTGTAGTCTCGTCTCCTGCGCCCACGACACTACCTTGCACATATCTCTGTCAAGGAGGAGCATTGGTCTTTCCGTTGCTCCTCCTCATCTCGACCGAGTGGTGAATCATGTGTGTGGCGAATCATGTGTGTGGTGAATCATGCATCTCATGGAACACATCGTGCATCTCATGGAACACAGCATGCATCTTATGGAACACAGCATGCATCTCATGGAACACAGCATGCATCTCATGGAACACAGCATGCATCTCATGGAACACAGCATGCATCTCATGGAACACAGCATGCATCTCATGGAACACAGCATGCATCTCATGGAACACAGCATGCATCTCATGGAACACAGCATGCATCTCATGGAACACAGCATGCATCTCATGGAACACAGCATGCATCTCATGGAACACAGCGTGCATCTCATGGAACACAGCGTGCATCTCATGGAACACAGCATCCATCTCATGGAACACAGCATGCATCTCATGGAACACAGCATCCATCTCATGGAACACAGCGTGCATCTCATGGAACACAGCGTGCATCTCATGGAACACAGCATCCATCTCATGGAACACAGCATGCATCTCATGGAACACAGCATGCATCTCATGGAACACAGCATCCATCTCATGGAACACAGCATGCATCTCATGGAACACAGCATGCATCTCATGGAACACAGCATGCATCTCATGGAACACAGCGTGCATCTCATGGAACACAGCATCCATCTCATGGAACACAGCATGCATCTCATGGAACACAGCATGCATCTCATGGAACACAGCATCCATCTCATGGAACACAGCATGCATCTCATGGAACACAGCATGCATCTCATGGAACACAGCGTGCATCTCATGGAACACAGCATCCATCTCATGGAACACAGCATGCATCTCATGGAACACAGCATGCATCTCATGGAACACAGCATCCATCTCATGGAACACAGCATGCATCTCATGGAACACAGCATGCATCTCATGGAACACAGCATGCATCTCATGGAACACAGCATGCATCTCATGGAACACAGCATGCATCTCATGGAACACAGCATGCATCTCATGGAACACAGCATGCATCTCATGGAACACAGCATGCATCTCATGGAACACAGCATGCATCTCATGGAACACAGCATGCATCTCATGGAACACAGCATGCATCTTGTGCGTGATGCCCCTCTTCTCAGCCTGTGGAACCTTGTGAAGTGAATGTTGAAGAATCTGAAACACCAACTAATGTCTTTTGAGGCGCCTCAAAAGTCAGCCAGTGGAACCTTGTGGGTGTTGAAGAATCTGAAACACCAACTAATCGGGTCAATATTTCTCCTCCCCTTGTTCTGTTCTGCACCACATACAGGTCGTGCGGATTCATGAGAGCGCTGCTCAGTCAACGCCGCCTGCTGGATCCACAGAGTTCCATCAAGAGAGTGAAAAAAGAAAAACACATTCAAGAATCTCTCCACCAACCTGCCCCTCTTCTCCACCAACCTGCCCCTCTTTTCCACCAGGTGGTGCGGATTATGCGAGCGCTGCTCAACCAGCGCCGCCTGCTGAGGAAGCACCTGGACGTTGTTTGAACTGCCACTGAGAAGCCTTGACTTGTCCTCTTCTTCCCTTCCCCTTCCCCTTCCCCTCCGAACAACACCACATTCGCAACAGGTGGTAAAGATCATGCGCGCGCTGCTCAACCAGCGCCGCCTGCTGAGGAAGCACCTGGACGTTGTTTGAACTGCCACTGAGAAGCCTTGACTTGTCCTCTTCTTCCCTTCCCCTTCCCCTTTGAACAACACCACATTCGCAACAGGTGGTAAAGATCATGCGCGCGCTGCTCAACCAGCGGCGGCTGCTTGGGAAGCACCTGGATGCCGTGTGGGCCGCCACCGAGAAGCCCGACCAGTTTGAAGCGGTGAGGCACGGTGTAAAGCGGTAATGCGCGGGTTTGAAGTGGTGAGATGTGGTTTCAGTGTGGTTCGTGAGACGTTCGCAGGCAGTGAGGCTTACGTCTCTTGAGGCACCTCAACCAGCACCGCCTGCCGGGGAAGCACCTGGACGCCGTGTGGGCTGCTACTGAGAAGCCCGACCAGTTCGAAGCGGTGAGGCACGGTTTGAAGGAGTGAGGCGTGGTTTTGATGTGGTGTATGGGACACTCACTGGCAGTGAGTGACGTCACGCACGCACACGTATTCTTAGGGGCCTAGAAATTCACTGGCTGTTGGGCAAACAGTTGGATGAGGTGACTTTTGAGTCGACTCAAAAGTCACTTCTTAGGGCCTAGAAATTCACTGGCTGTTGGACAAACAGTTGGATGCTGTGTGGGCCGCCGCTAAGAATCCCGACGATTCGCTTTCCGCTGCTTCCCCGTTTGCTTCTTGCACATTCGCCCTTCCTTCACAACTTTAACACGCTCTTCTGCCCACCACCATCTGTTCTGCATTCGCCCCTGTGCAGGTGAAGAACAACACATGTGACCTGCTGGCAGAGCTCGCTTGCCCCTTTGTGTGAGGTGCCTGACTGTAAATCCCCTCTTTCGCCCGGTACCGATCCGCTGTGCCCTTGTGCAGGTGAAGAACAACATTTTCGACCTGCTGGTGGTGGAGCTGGCCTGGTCCTTTTGAGATGGCTCAGAAGTCGGAGCTGGCCTGGTCCTTCGAGTGACGTGCCCCAAAGTACATCCCCCCATTTCGCCCGCTATGCGCAGGCGAAGAGCAACAGTTTCGACCTGCTGGCAGAGCTGGCCTGGTCCTTCGAGTGACGTGCCCCAAAGTACATTCCCCTCTTTCACCCGCTATCTCTTGGCGTTTGCCGCTGCGCAGGTGAAGAACAACATTTTCGACCTGCTGGCAGAGCTGGCTTGGTCTTTCTCAGACGAGCAGCTCGACTCTCTCTTCTCCCGCCTGCAGCACATCCAGGTGACTGCTGCTGCGCTCTGATGCCATGCATGAAACATCACACGGACAGTGGAACTGCATGCTGGCAAGGTATGGACTGGCATGACTACCTGGATTCCCTCTTCTCCCGCCTGCAGCACATCCAGGTGACTGCTGCTGCGCTCTGATGCCATGCATGAAACATCACACGGACAGTGGAACTGCATGCTGGCAAGGTATGGACTGGCATGACTACCTGGATTCCCTCTTCTCCCGCCTGCAGCACATCCAGGTGACTGCTGCTGCGCTCTGATGCCATGCATGAAACATCACACGGACAGTGGAACTGCATGCTGGCAAGGTATGGACTGGCATGACTACCTGGATTCCCTCTTCTCCCGCCTGCAGCACATCCAGGTGACTGCTGCTGCGCTCTGATGCCATGCATGAAACATCACACGGACAGTGGAACTGCATGCTGGCAAGGGTATGGACTGGCATGACTACCTGGATTCCCTCTTCTCCCGCCTGCAGCACATCCAGGTGACTGCTGCTGCGCTCTGATGCCATGCATGAAACATCACACGGACAGTGGAACTGCATGCTGGCAAGGTATGGACTGGCATGACTACCTGGATTCCCTCTTCTCCCGCCTGTAGCACATCCAGGTGACTGCTGCTGCGCTCTGATGCCATGCATGAAACATCACACGGACAGTGGAACTGCATGCTGGCAAGGTATGGACTGGCATGACTACCTGGATTCCCTCTTCTCCCGCCTGCAGCACATCCAGGTGACTGCTGCTGCGCTCTGATGCCATGCATGAAACATCACACGGACAGTGGAACTGCATGCTGGCAAGGTATGGACTGGCATGACTACCTGGATTCCCTCTTCTCCCGCCTGCAGCACATCCAGGTGACTGCTGCTGCGCTCTGATGCCATGCATGAAACATCACACGGACAGTGGAACTGCATGCTGGCAAGGTATGGACTGGCATGACTACCTGGATTCCCTCTTCTCCCGCCTGCAGCACATCCAGGTGACTGCTGCTGCGCTCTGATGCCATGCATGAAACATCACACGGACAGTGGAACTGCATGCTGGCAAGGTATGGACTGGCATGACTACCTGGATTCCCTCTTCTCCCGCCTGCAGCACATCCAGGTGACTGCTGCTGCGCTCTGATGCCATGCATGAAACATCACACGGACAGTGGAACTGCATGCTGGCAAGGTATGGACTGGCATGACTACCTGGATTCCCTCTTCTCCCGCCTGCAGCACATCCAGGTGACTGCTGCTGCGCTCTGATGCCATGCATGAAACATCACACGGACAGTGGAACTGCATGCTGGCAAGGTATGGACTGGCATGACTACCTGGATTCCCTCTTCTCCCGCCTGCAGCACATCCAGGTGACTGCTGCTGCGCTCTGATGCCATGCATGAAACATCACACGGACAGTGGAACTGCATGCTGGCAAGGTATGGACTGGCATGACTACCTGGATTCCCTCTTCTCCCGCCTGCAGCACATCCAGGTGACTGCTGCTGCGCTCTGATGCCATGCATGAAACATCACACGGACAGTGGAACTGCATGCTGGCAAGGTATGGACTGGCATGACTACCTGGATTCCCTCTTCTCCCGCCTGCAGCACATCCAGGTGACTGCTGCTGCGCTCTGATGCCATGCATGAAACATCACACGGACAGTGGAACTGCATGCTGGCAAGGTATGGACTGGCATGACTACCTGGATTCCCTCTTCTCCCGCCTGCAGCACATCCAGGTGACTGCTGCTGCGCTCTGATGCCATGCATGAAACATCACACGGACAGTGGAACTGCATGCTGGCAAGGTATGGACTGGCATGACTACCTGGATTCCCTCTTCTCCCGCCTGCAGCACATCCAGGTGACTGCTGCTGCGCTCTGATGCCATGCATGAAACATCACACGGACAGTGGAACTGCATGCTGGCAAGGTATGGACTGGCATGACTACCTGGATTCCCTCTTCTCCCGCCTGCAGCACATCCAGGTGACTGCTGCTGCGCTCTGATGCCATGCATGAAACATCACACGGACAGTGGAACTGCATGCTGGCAAGGTATGGACTGGCATGACTACCTGGATTCCCTCTTCTCCCGCCTGCAGCACATCCAGGTGACTGCTGCTGCGCTCTGATGCCATGCATGAAACATCACACGGACAGTGGAACTGCATGCTGGCAAGGTATGGACTGGCATGACTACCTGGATTCCCTCTTCTCCCGCCTGCAGCACATCCAGGTGACTGCTGCTGCGCTCTGATGCCATGCATGAAACATCACACGGACAGTGGAACTGCATGCTGGCAAGGTATGGACTGGCATGACTACCTGGATTCCCTCTTCTCCCGCCTGCAGCACATCCAGGTGACTGCTGCTGCGCTCTGATGCCATGCATGAAACATCACACGGACAGTGGAACTGCATGCTGGCAAGGTATGGACTGGCATGACTACCTGGATTCCCTCTTCTCCCGCCTGGAGCACATCCAGGTGACTGCTGCTGCGCTCTGATGCCATGCATGAAACATCACACGGACAGTGGAACTGCATGCTGGCAAGGTATGGACTGGCATGACTACCTGGATTCCCTCTTCTCCCGCCTGCAGCACATCCAGGTGACTGCTGCTGCGCTCTGATGCCATGCATGAAACATCACACGGACAGTGGAACTGCATGCTGGCAAGGTATGGACTGGCATGACTACCTGGGTTCCCTCTTCTCCCGCCTGCAGCACATCCAGGTGACTGCTGCTGCGCTCTGATGCCATGCATGAAACATCACACGGACAGTGGAACTGCATGCTGGCAAGGTATGGACTGGCATGACTACCTGGATTCCCTCTTCTCCCGCCTGCAGCACATCCAGGTGACTGCTGCTGCGCTCTGATGCCATGCATGAAACATCACACGGACAGTGGAACTGCATGCTGGCAAGGTATGGACTGGCATGACTACCTGGATTCCCTCTTCTCCCGCCTGCAGCACATCCAGGTGACTGCTGCTGCGCTCTGATGCCATGCATGAAACATCACACGGACAGTGGAACTGCATGCTGGCAAGGTATGGACTGGCATGACTACCTGGATTCCCTCTTCTCCCGCCTGTAGCACATCCAGGTGACTGCTGCTGCGCTCTGATGCCATGCATGAAACATCACACGGACAGTGGAACTGCATGCTGGCAAGGTATGGACTGGCATGACTACCTGGATTCCCTCTTCTCCCGCCTGCAGCACATCCAGGTGACTGCTGCTGCGCTCTGATGCCATGCATGAAACATCACACGGACAGTGGAACTGCATGCTGGCAAGGTATGGACTGGCATGACTACCTGGATTCCCTCTTCTCCCGCCTGCAGCACATCCAGGTGACTGCTGCTGCGCTCTGATGCCATGCATGAAACATCACACGGACAGTGGAACTGCATGCTGGCAAGGTATGGACTGGCATGACTACCTGGATTCCCTCTTCTCCCGCCTGCAGCACATCCAGGTGACTGCTGCTGCGCTCTGATGCCATGCATGAAACATCACACGGACAGTGGAACTGCATGCTGGCAAGGTATGGACTGGCATGACTACCTGGATTCCCTCTTCTCCCGCCTGCAGCACATCCAGGTGACTGCTGCTGCGCTCTGATGCCATGCATGAAACATCACACGGACAGTGGAACTGCATGCTGGCAAGGTATGGACTGGCATGACTACCTGGATTCCCTCTTCTCCCGCCTGCAGCACATCCAGGTGACTGCTGCTGCGCTCTGATGCCATGCATGAAACATCACACGGACAGTGGAACTGCATGCTGGCAAGGTATGGACTGGCATGACTACCTGGATTCCCTCTTCTCCCGCCTGCAGCACATCCAGGTGACTGCTGCTGCGCTCTGATGCCATGCATGAAACATCACACGGACAGTGGAACTGCATGCTGGCAAGGTATGGACTGGCATGACTACCTGGATTCCCTCTTCTCCCGCCTGCAGCACATCCAGGTGACTGCTGCTGCGCTCTGATGCCATGCATGAAACATCACACGGACAGTGGAACTGCATGCTGGCAAGGTATGGACTGGCATGACTACCTGGATTCCCTCTTCTCCCGCCTGCAGCACATCCAGGTGACTGCTGCTGCGCTCTGATGCCATGCATGAAACATCACACGGACAGTGGAACTGCATGCTGGCAAGGTATGGACTGGCATGACTACCTGGATTCCCTCTTCTCCCGCCTGCAGCACATCCAGGTGACTGCTGCTGCGCTCTGATGCCATGCATGAAACATCACACGGACAGTGGAACTGCATGCTGGCAAGGTATGGACTGGCATGACTACCTGGATTCCCTCTTCTCCCGCCTGCAGCACATCCAGGTGACTGCTGCTGCGCTCTGATGCCATGCATGAAACATCACACGGACAGTGGAACTGCATGCTGGCAAGGTATGGACTGGCATGACTACCTGGATTCCCTCTTCTCCCGCCTGCAGCACATCCAGGTGACTGCTGCTGCGCTCTGATGCCATGCATGAAACATCACACGGACAGTGGAACTGCATGCTGGCAAGGTATGGACTGGCATGACTACCTGGATTCCCTCTTCTCCCGCCTGCAGCACATCCAGGTGACTGCTGCTGCGCTCTGATGCCATGCATGAAACATCACACGGACAGTGGAACTGCATGCTGGCAAGGTATGGACTGGCATGACTACCTGGATTCCCTCTTCTCCCGCCTGCAGCACATCCAGGTGACTGCTGCTGCGCTCTGATGCCATGCATGAAACATCACACGGACAGTGGAACTGCATGCTGGCAAGGTATGGACTGGCATGACTACCTGGATTCCCTCTTCTCCCACCTGCAGCACATCCAGGTGACTGCTGCTGCGCTCTGATGCCATGCATGAAACATCACACGGACAGTGGAACTGCATGCTGGCAAGGTATGGACTGGCATGACTACCTGGATTCCCTCTTCTCCCGCCTGCAGCACATCCAGGTGACTGCTGCTGCGCTCTGATGCCATGCATGAAACATCACACGGACAGTGGAACTGCATGCTGGCAAGGTATGGACTGGCATGACTACCTGGATTCCCTCTTCTCCCGCCTGCAGCACATCCAGGTGACTGCTGCTGCGCTCTGATGCCATGCATGAAACATCACACGGACAGTGGAACTGCATGCTGGCAAGGTATGGACTGGCATGACTACCTGGGTTCCCTCTTCTCCCGCCTGCAGCACATTCAGGTGACTGCTGCTCTCACGCCTCTCCAGAGCCGAGCCAAGCTTCACACACGTGAGTGGGGTGGGCGCATCTGTTTGTTATTCTAAGCCAAGGCACATGCACCCACCCCACTCACATGTGTGAAGCTTGCTCTCTGAATGTGTATGCAACGTGTCACCTCTCTGCCTCCTACCACCCATTCCAGGGTCCCGTACACAGCAAATGGCAGAAAATCACACCTTCTGAGTTGAACCAAGCCGACTCCTTTCTTCCTTCTCCCCTCTCCACCAGGGGCGCTCAGCGGCAGACATCGCAAAGCTGATGCAGCTGGTGAAGAAGCTCGCACGCTCCGATACCCGTGGCGTCATGGCCTCCAGGTAGGTATCTGTGGATCTAGATGGTGTGTTGTGGATTTCGGTAAATCTCTATGATTTTTCAGGTGTTTCACTCCCAGGGAATTGTCCGTGGCGTCTAGGTGGTTTTTTTCTAGGGTCTGGGGTGATTTCCATGTCGTTCAGGTGAATTTTCTAGCTTTCAGGTGGATCATCATGGCTGGCTGCTGCAAGGCAGAGTTCCAGTTGCAACAAGAGAAGCAAGGCATGAATCCCTTCACAGCAGGGCTTGTTGTGTTGACTGATTTTTCAAGTACAAGGTTTGCCCAGTCTACATGACACACGTGTATTCCTTATTTGCTCTGTTCGGAACCACTCTCCCAGTGTGCCTCTGCATCTGCCCAGTTCACTCGTCACAAACAAATGCCGCCTCTGTTCTCTCCGTGCAGGCTGCTCCAGCTGCTCTGGACACTCGTGTTCGACCCGCCTCACACCCACTCAGTCCCAACAGGGTCAGCATCAGCAGCATCAACATCAGCATTGGCTTCATCCCTTTCCTCTGTCGCATGTCCCCATTTCACCCTCCCTGCAGGCTGCTCCAGCTGCTCTGGACGCTCGTGTTCGACCCACCCCACACACATGCAGTCTCAACTGGATCAGCTTCAGCATCAGCAGCGTCAGCACCAGCTTCGGCAGCAGCGTTGGCAGCAGCAGCAGATGTTGCGTCAGTGAACGTGCTTGAATCAAAGGCCCTCACGGAGGTGCTCGGCCACTATGCTTCTGTTGGGTGTGCTAATAAAGAGGTGAGACTTTGTCTCTGATGTTTTTTGTTTTTTTTGTTTTTGTTTTTAAATATTTATTTATTTATTTCCTTTTGTGGTATGTAGGCTTTGCTTGAAAACCTGCCTCAAAATCTCTCCCTTTTCTCCCCTTCTCAGGAGTACATGCAGCGCTGTCTGCAGGCCATCTCGCGGGAGGAGAGTGTCATTCCAGCCCTGCAGCTGCTGCGGGAGATCATCTCTTTGCAACCCAACCCCGCTCCACCTGCTGAGGTGCTGCTCTCACCACCTTGCACTCCTTCGTTTACGGTTCTGTATATTCAAGAGATTGTCTCTCTGCACCTCACTCGAACACGCTCCACCTGCCGAGGTGCCGCTCTCACACCTTTGCACTCCTGCATTTCCGTTTTCTATATTTGCGGATGACCATTGCTCTGTACCAAGGTTTAAAAAAACGTCGTTTTTTTGAAAATTTACCGTAAAAAACGGCAGTAAAAAACGACCGTAAAAAACGGTTAAAAAGGTTCCAGACGGTGGTTTCGTTTGAAGAAAAAATCGGCCGATTTCTGGGACCAAATTGATGGCGAAAGGTACCAGGATGAAGAGGACGAACCCCTCCTTGCATGTGTGTGCTTGTGGGCATGATTGAAAATGTATTCGACCTTGTTTTTCCCTTTTTTTGTTGGGGACAACAGTTCTCTAACAAAAAAACGCAGTTTTTTTGGAAAATTACCGTAAAAAACGGACCGTTTTTTACGAAAACCGTATTTTTGAACCTTGCTCTGTACTCCAACAGCGCTCCACTCGCTGAGGTGCTTCACTTCTCTCTCCCTCCTCCTTAGACCTTCACTTTCCCCTTTCTATATCTGCGAGAAATCAATTCTCGACCTACCCCAACAGCATTCCACCCACCAAGATGCTTCTCTGCTCCCTCCCACTTTATGCACCCGCTCTTCCCCCCCTCTTCTAACTCTACCATCCTTCTTCTCCCCCCCCTTCTCCACCTGCCCTCCCTGCTCCTTCCATCCCGCTCCCTTCTTTGCCCATTGTTTTCGTGTTTTGGTTTCGCACGAGATTGTGCACGCACGGGCCACGGCTCGTTTTTTAGTCGACTAAAAAACATTTCCGTGTTTTGGTTTCGCACGAGATTGTGCGAAATGTCATGTGTGCCAATCTAGTGCGGCACACATGGCATTGTGCTGGTCTTTTAAGGCGCCGCAAAAGTGAAGAATATTGTGCACAGCACACATGACAGACATTGTGCTGGTCTTTTGAGGCGCCTCAAAAGTGAAGATCATTGCGCATGGCACACGTGACATTGTGCTGGTCTTTGTGTGGCATGCTAGAGCATCCTGCGATGCCAGTGTTAATCTGAGGTGCCGCAAATACATCTCATCTTGCCATCTCTGTTTGAATGTACTGGGTGTTGCAGGAGCAGCAGATGCTGCAGGCGCAGCTCCAGTCATTGAATACAAACCATGAGCTCGAGTACACTGTAAGATTGTGCTATTCCGTGTGCATATACTCACTCATCCTAGCTAGCTAGCGCTCGTAACACGGAGTGCTGATGAGTGCTGATGTTGGATGAGGTGCGTTGCACCACGTAATTTTGTAACATGGTGGTGCAAGCAGACCGTGTAACATATTATGTTTTGAGGTGCGACACTAGGTGACCCTGTAACGTGGTGGTGGGAGTACCATGTAAGTAACATGGTATGGTATGCCTTTAGCAGAATGAACACAGCACAGCATAGCGCAGCATATGTATGGGATGGCAACACCCTTTCCTATGCACGTCTCCGTTCCGCTTTCCTTCCCTGCAGCTCTTCTACTCCCTCCTCGTAACAAGCTCTGGGCAGCCTACACACCTCCAAGTGGTTTCTGAGGATTCTAAACCTTTGAGGCACCTCAAAAGCCTGCACACCTCCTACCTCCCATGATAACTTTTGGCTCAATCCAAAGTTCTGTCGCTCCACTTATTGTTGGTGTTTTCAGAGTTTTTTCAAAGCTTCCTCTCTCCTCTCCTGCCTTCTTCCCTTCCCCCTCCCCCAACTCCCCCCACACACCCCAATAAACCCTTCCATCAGGTACTGGGCAGTCTGCAGACCTACAAGGGTCTGGCCCGCTCCCTGTTCGCCTCCGCACGCTCTGCCTCCCCCCACCAACCACAGCCCATGACTGCTCCAAGCAAACCTCTTCCAGTCAGCCCCGTTCCACCCAGCAGCAGCAGCAGCCCACTACCAGTTTCAGATGCCAGCGTCTTACCCAGCAGTGACGGCAGTCCCATGCATGGCGTGGTGGAGCAGGAGGAGGAGGAGGAGGAGGTGAGGCAGGAATGCAGCGGTGGGGATACGACGGCAGAGCGATCGTTGCCCACTATGGACTGTGATGAACCGCAAGGGCAGCAGCAGCAAGGGCAGCAGAGGCAGCGGCTGCAGCAGGAGCAGAAGGAGCAAGGGCAGCAGCAGCAGCAGCAGCAGCAGCAGCAGCACGTGCAGCTGCAGCGGCAGTTGGAGCAGTGCACGTTGGTGGATGGCAGACACTCCCACCGCGACAACATCACCGCCCGCCTCTCCTTCCTCCTCTGGGCGCTCCAGGTGCTTGCTTGCTCCCCCTCTTCTTTTCGTCATCCTTTCGTCGCTCTAGAGTTGTTTCTTCTTCTCCTCCCTTTTTTGCCCTTTTGTTGCCGCACATTCTTCCCAACATGGGTGGACTGAGTGCGCCGCATCCCTTCCTTCCTATGTGACGCCTCAAGCTCCCGCGCCTGCTTTCTCAACACACCACTCTTCCTAAACCCCGCTTTGATTCTTAAAACCTTAATTTCCAGACCTTGAGTGGCATGGAATGGAGCTACAGTTAGAGGGGCTGTGGGTGATATGGACTGAGGTAGTGGAGCACCCACACCACACCACACCCGCCTTCTCAGCATCCTTCCTGAACCCTTCGTAAACCCCTGTTAAAGCCCTCACAAACCCCTGTTCAAACCCCTTCTGAACCTTTCTCAAACCCCTCTTTAACCCTTTCTAAACCCTTCTTTAACCCTTACCAACCTCCTGGCAGGCAGCATGGAGCTACAGACAGAGGGGCTGGGGTGATTTGGACCGAGTTAGTGGAACACCCAGCATGTCTTCCCAGCTCGTCAAGGACCCGTGCCTGATTTCTCAGCACACCATTCCAAACCCCTTTCTACACCCTAAACCTCTACCATCCTGCAGGCAGGCGGCATGGAGCTACAGCCAGAGGGGCTGCGGGTGATTTGGACCGAGTTAGTGGAGCACCCAGCATGCCCTGATGACCGCCAGCTGGCGCTGACGTGGCTGTCTGACGCAGTGGAGGGGAGGGAGGGGGGGGAGTGGAGAGGAGAGGGGGGTGGGCGGATAGGGGAGGTGGGGAGTGTGGGCACAGGGGTCGGGGTGGTGGGAGGGGCCGTGAGCTCGACGGGACAGGTGGCGCTCTTGGATTGGTTGACGCAGCTGCCTCCGGAGCAGTTCTCGCCTGTGGCTTGGAGGTGGGTGGGCTTGCCAATGCCGTGAACTACTGTAGGTTGGAGGTTGCGTCCCCTCAGCCTCGTCCTTTAACCTTAAGCAGCCCCATCCCTTTAAAGTTCAAACTAATCCCTCACCTTTTTTCCCCAACCCTACTATCCCTTCAGAACTTATTTTTTACTACTATCCCATCAACCCTGTTCCTCTCCCTCCGTTCTGCCCCTCGCCCTCTCCCACTAACTCACCCCTTCCTCTGTTCATTTCCCCGTTGGTTTCCCTTTCTCATTCTCTCGCACCTTCTCTCCTCACCAGGCTGTTCCATCGTATTTTCATCAGCGTCAACACAGCATCAGGCGTGCTCGCAGTCACCCCAGCACCACCGGGAGCAACACCAGCACCAGGAGGATTGCTGGCACCAGCAGCAGCACTCCCAGTGGGAGCAGGAGCAGTAGCAGGGGGAGCAGCAGCAGGGGAGGGCGTGCAGGTGGCAGTGGCGGGGGATGTGGGCGGGCTGAAGGGAGTGGAGCTCGTGTGGTTGCTGGCTCTGCGCTGCCCCTCCCCCGCCATCTGGCAACCCTGCATCCAGCTATTAAGGGACCTGCACTCCTCGCTTGTCGCCCCAGAAAAGGTAGGTGCCGCAGTGTCGCGAGAGAGGGCGTGCATGTGGCAGTGGCGGGGGGTGTGTGCGAGGTGAGGGGAGTGGAGCTCGTGTGGTCGCTGGCCCTGCGCTGCCCCTCCCCTGCCACCTGGCAGCCCTGCATCCAGCAACTTAGGGACCTACACTCGTCCCTTGTCACTCCAGAAAAGGTAGGTAGGGGCCACAGGGCTTCTTGTGCTGCCTTTCTGCTGCCCCTCCCCTGCCATCTGGCCGCCCTGCATTCAGCTGCTCAGGGACCGGCACTCGTCCCTTGTCGCCGCAGAAAAGGGTGCTGCCCTCTGCCCCACGCCCTAGGGTATGGCTCCGTGTGCTGCCCCGCTGCCCCGCTGCCGCCATCTATCAGCCTCCAGCTGAGCATCCAGCTGAGCATCCAGCTGCTCAGGGAGCTACATTCAAGCCTTGTGCAACAGGTGTCACCAGAGGGACAGCATGAGTAGTGCATTGATCCCTTGTGCTCTTCATGGTACTGCAGAGCAGACCTTGTCATGCGCATGGTGGCGGTGCGGCAGAGCTTCATAGGCGAGTGCATGCTCTCCCTCCCTTCCTCCCTTCCTCCCTTCCTCCCTTCCTCCCTTCCTCCCTTCCTCCCTTCCTCCCTTCCTCCCTTCCTCCCTTCCTCCCTTCCTCCCTTCCTCCCTTCCTCCCTTCCTCCCTTCCTCCCTTCCTCCCTTCCTCCCTTCCTCCCTTCCTCCCTTCCTCCCTTCCTCCCTTCCTCCCTTCCTCCCTTCCTCCCTTCCTCCCTTCCTCCCTTCCTCCCTTCCTCCCTTCCTCCCTTCCTCCCTTCCTCCCTTCCTCCCTTCCTCCCTTCCTCCCTTCCTCCCTTCCTCCCTTCCTCCCTTCCTCCCTTCCTCCCTTCCTCCCTTCCTCCCTTCCTCCCTTCCTCCCTTCCTCCCTTCCTCCCTTCCTCCCTTCCTCCCTTCCTCCCTTCCTCCCTTCCTCCCCTCCAAACCCCCCTTCCCCCGTTCCTTCCTGCCCAACTTCTTCTATTCTTCAGGCCAAGCTAGTGGCGGTGCGGCAGAGCCTCATAAGCGAGTGCATGCGGCGCCTTGCTGCTGGCAGTGGTAGCAAATGACGTGTGCATCATCAACCTATTGCCCCCTCTCCTTCCCTACTTCCCAACCCCCTGTCTCTACCGCCCCCACTTCACCCCCATCAGGCCAAGCTGGTGGCGGTGCGGCAGAGCTTCATAGGCGAGTGCATGCTCTCCCCTCCCTTCCTCCCCACCAACCCCACTTTCCCCTTACCCCTTCCTTCCTGCCCAACTTCTCCTATTCTCCAGGCCAAGCTGGTAGCGGTGCGGCAGAGCTTCATAGGCGAGTGCATGCGGCGCCTGGCTGCTGCGATGCAGCAGCTGGAGGGAGGGACAAGTGCGGGGCATAACGGGCAGACGTTGGGGGGGCATAACGTGACCGTGGAAGGGAGAAGCGCAGGAGGAGTGACGCCACCAACTGGGAGGGATGCTCTGCCCATGGAAACGAGTGCGGAGGAGAGTGATGGTGGGGAGAGGACGGGTGATGCAAGGGATGGGGGTGGTGATGTGGCAATGGCCGGACAGGAGGACGAGGGTGGCTTGGAAGCGAGGGAGAAGGAGAGGGAGGGCGGGGTCGCAGGGAGTGGGGAGATGAATGGCGAAGGCAGGGGTGGTAAGGGTGGCAGGGGCAGCAAGGGTGGCAGCAGTTTGGAAGGGCAGGCGTCAGCAGAGGAGCAAGCACAACGCTGTCTCTTGCTCTTGACAGTAAGTTCGTCTTGAGACATCTCAAGGCACACACTGCCTCTTGCTCTTGACACTAAGTGCGAGGGCAGCAAACGTTGCGTTGGGTAAGTTAGAATGGCTGAACAACTCGCAAGTGTGCAAGAAAAGACACACCTTTCATACACATGCTCACGCACAAGTTACATCTCGGACCGGACCACATGCACTGCTCTTCTACCAAGAGGTCCACTCATGGTACATTCTATCAGGCAGGCGGTCAGAACCACTGTTCTCCTCCCATTGCATCATCACCTCCTCCATGCCCCATGCCCCTCTCCCCCACTTCCCCTCCCAGCAATTCCTCACGCGCTGTGAGGCCTCCTGCCCGCGCAAAGTGCCGCCCCATGGTGCCTCCTACCAGGGCAGGCCGTTTCAGGTGGAGGTGAGATCCGAGGCAGGCCGTTTCAGGTGGAGGTGAGATCTGAGGCAGGCCGTTTCAGGTGGAGGTGAGATCCGAGGCAGGCCGTTTCAGGTGGAGGTGAGATCTGAGGCAGGCCGTTTCAGGTGGAGGTGAGATCTGAGGCAGGCCGTTTCAGGTGGAGGAGAGATCCGAGGCAGGCCGTTTCAAGTGGAGGTGAGATCCGAGGCAGGCCGTTTCAGGTGGAGGTGAGATCCGAGGCAGGCCGTTTCAGGTGGAGGTGAGATCCGAGGCAGGCCGTTTCAGGTGGAGGTGAGATCCGAGGCAGGCCGTTTCAGGTGGAGGTGAGATCCGAGGCAGGCCGTTTCAGGTGGAGGTGAGATCCGAGGCAGGCCGTTTCAGGTGGAGGTGAGATCCGAGGCAGGCCGTTTCAGGTGGAGGTGAGATCTGAGGCAGGCCGTTTCAGGTGGAGGTGAGATCTGAGGCAGGCCGTTTCAGGTGGAGGTGAGATGAGATCTGAGTGAGGCCGTCTCAAGTGGAGGTCAGATATGAGGCAGGTTGTTTCAGGTGGAGGTTAATTCTGAGGCAGGGCTTTTCAGGTGGAGATGAGTTTTGAGGCAGGCCGTTTCAGGTGCAGGTGAGATCCGAGGCAGGCCGTTTCAGGTGGAGGTGTGAGATTATTTTGTTGAGTTCTTGGTGATGACTTTGAAATGTCGGTAGTGCAGTAACAGGAGATACGTCAGTGTATTTGTGTGTGTGCGCATGTGCGCATGTGAGCACATACGCAGACTCGTGTAACAAGAGTGGTAGCTTCCGTTCTTTATTTGATACGCATGCTGCTTTCAGATCCCTTGTTAACGGTCCTGCGTTTCTGAATTGTTCTTGTTTTCTGAAAACTTTGGGCGAGCAGTTGACAGTGGCGCACAGCAAGCATATTAAGCTTGTTTAAGCCCCACCCCATCCCATCACATTCCATCCCATTCCATCCCACCGCATCCCATCCCTGCCATCAAGCAGGTGACAGTGGCACACAGCAAGCACGTGAACTTCTTCGTTCACACGCATGCAAACGAGTACCTGCGCTTGCTGCGACTCAAGGTGGGTTACAACATACATGTGCATACATAAACGTCTGTTTGTTTAATATTTTTAATATATATGTATATATATGTATATATATCTATATATATGTATATATATGTATATATATATATTATTTTGATGGAACCGTTTGCACTGTTCTTTTCCTGTTGCCCCTCTTTCTCTCAGCTTGCTGAAACTATTGCCCTGACTTGCGTTGACCTGCCTTGACTTGCCAGGTGGCCCACAAGCTCGAGTGTGACTTGGCGCGTGTGCGGCTGCTATTGGATGGTCACGAGCTGCTCTCTGATTGGCTCGTGCTCCGGCAATGCGGGATCGCGGACGGGCGGCGACTCATTGCTTCTGTCATGGTGTGTGGTTCAGTTACAATGATTGTAGGTGTGTGACTGTAACGGATGCCCTCTTAGGCTATTCCTGAGCTGCCTAGAGGATTGCCTTCTGCCATGGTCCGTGTGTGACTGTAACGGAGGTGCTCTTAAATGTGATTGCATGCCTTCTATCTTCGTTTCCTTCTGCTCCTTGTCCTTCACCCTTGCTCCTCTCCTTTCCGATGCCTCCCCCCATGCCTCCTCTCCTCTCTTTCCAGCTGAATCCCCGGCCTCGCAGCAGGCAGCAAGGGGAGGGAGGGGAGGCAGAGCTTCCGGGAGTGCTCATGGCACGACAGGGGGAGGTGGGTTTGGGTTTGCGGGGAATGGGGTCGGCGGAAGGAAGGAGGATGGATCTGAGCGAGGAGAGGGGAAGGGGAGAGCGGAGTGGCAGGGCTGCGGGGCGGACGAGGGTTCCCAAGCTTGTGATAATCCTTGTTGTTTCATGTTCAATGTCACTTTTCTTCCCTCACGCCTTCATTCAAAGATGTTTGATCTTGTGATTAATTGGCTCTTGAATGATTGAACCAGCCCGCCGGCTCTGTTGTTTGTTGTTGGGGAATCGTCTCCCTGCATGGCAGGTGTACGGCACTCCCTTCCAGCTGCTTTTTTAGCCGATTCGACTTTCAATTGACGAAAAAACCGGCTGGAATTTCCTGAGTTGGGAACTGTTTCCTTGCGTGGCTGGCAGGTGTACGGTACTCTCTTCCGACTGCTTCAGTCTGCCAACCATCAAGTGCAGCAGGTTCGTCTGCCTTGTGCCGCTTGAACATTTTTCAAATGTGAACGGAGTAGAGCAGGCTGTGTGTTGACTCGACTCGACCAAGACCTGACTGAATTCAAAACGCAATGTATTCGAGTTAGTATCCAAAACGATGCTCATGTTTAAAGCCACCCCACTTCCTTCCCCTGCTTCCCATCCCTCTCCCCTGCCTCTCTGCACATCAGGCAGCGGACGAGCTCCTCATGCTGCTGCCCACACACCGCGCCATTCTTGACGATTTCGTGGTCAGTCAGTCAGTCGCACGCACACGTGTGTTCAATCCTTGTCAGTGTTTGAGAATCATTTTGTAGTCGTGATTCGCAGGAGCTCTTTATCTCTTGTCGCGCGCAGTTGTGAAAATTGAATTCTTGGTCGGCCGGTTCTGATTCTGCCCAGGTCGCTACTACACCTGCATCCGCATAGGCCTATGTGTCATGGACAGCCGCATGCATCACCACAGCACACATACACCTGGTCACAATGACCTGTCTCTCCTATGTACCCTCTCCCTGCACCCGCCCTAGATCTCATACTCTCTCGTCGTCTACCTCTTTCGTGTTCTCTCCCTCACACCTGACTGACTGTGACTCCCCCTGCAGAGCATCCAGTCAGCGCCATCAGCAGCCGAGGCTGCAACCATTCTGACGCATCTCCTGCGCCCCTCGCCGCGCCTTGTTTATACGCTGCAGGTGATTAGGATTTCCTTGTTTGAGGGTGTAGCGGTTTTGGGGTTTAAGGGTTTAGCGCGACTGCCAGGCACGCTACTGCAGGTGATTGGGGTGGGGTTTCAGGGTTTAGAGCAATGGCCAGACACGCTGCTGCAGGTAATCATCATACTTCGTTTCTTGCTCACTGTTCCAAGCTCCCATCCGTTACCCATAATTCTCCCATGCATCCAGCGCCCCATTCCATCATCTTTCCATCCACCCATCCCATCTGCCCCTTGTGCCCATGTGCCTCCATGCATGATGCATCCCACCACCCACCACCAGGTGCTGGACGGGCTATTGCTGCCTGTCAACCGCCAGCCCTCGCCTGCCACCACCTAATGACCCATGCTGTCATCCATCTGTCTGCCGTATGCGTCTACCCATGTGCCTCCATGCATCCCACCCACCACCAGGTGCTGGACGGGCTATTGCTGCCTGTCAACCGCCAGCCCTCGCCTGCCACCATTCGCTTCCGAGCGAGCTTTCTCCAGTCCAATGGTTTCAGGTGACCTTTCAAATCATGTTGTCTGCCCAAATGAATGCATGATCTGTTAGAGCTAGACCTCGATCTCAACTTTTGTACTTGTACTTGAGCTAGACCTCGATCTCAACTTCTGTACTTGTACGTTTATATCCTAGCGTAGTGTAGATTGCACTCTGTGTTTGGTTGGGTGTACACACACCCACATCCCAACCAAACCCAAATGTGATCACCAAGCAATCTCCAACCCACCAATTGGACATTGCCTTGGGATTGCCCTTGATCCCCTAGGGATTACGCAGCATTTCAGGGCATGTGTAGTCTGATTGGTTTATAGGTGTACACGTCCCGGCCTGCTTCTACTTCTCTTTGCTCTCTACCGTCCGCTCCTACACTCCTCCAAAAACCACACCGGTACTTTTCTCTCTTGTCAACAACACCCGACCTCCTCTCCCTCTCTCCTTCGGAACGCCCCCCTCGTTCTCATCCTTCCGCAGTGCCCATGTCGCCCCCCTTACTAATTGGCCACACTCTCTTCTCCCTCTTCCCCCCTCTCCATCCCGCCTGCATCCTTCCGCAGTGCCCTCATGTCAGTCTTTCAGAGCCAAGCCCTGCCTCGAATATTGAGCGGGAAAAAAATATTATCTCCTGTACCCTCCCCTCATCCTCGTTCTGTGCGCAGTGCCCTCATGTCAGTCTTTCAGAGCCAAGCACTGCCGCGTGCAGCGGATGACAGCACGAGGCGGAAGTGCTACATGAGCGCCCTGCACATTCTCAAGCTCCTGGTGAGTGTCTCTGTTTGCCGTGCCCTTGTGAAGTTTCCTTTCCTCTCCTTAATTCGATGTATGTTTTCCTGTTTCCATCGTGCCGTGGCCCCCCAAACCCTAATATGTTTCAGCTGTTTGGCGATCACTTTGGTGGCGCCTCTAGCACAGCACCAGGCCTCTGGGAAGACTGGGAGCAAGGAAGCGACGAGGAGCAGCTGCCAGATGCCGCATACACAGCCGCAGCAGCGGGCACTGTAGCAAGCACTATAGAGAGCATTGTGGGGAGCACTGTAGCGCGTACAGTGCCAGTGGCGGCCGCCCCTCTCCTTGCCACGGCACCTGGCGATTCGTCTGAGCCAACCTGCCTCATCCGGTGAGCGATTTTCGATTTTATTCGACTCAGAAAAATAAATCATTCTGTTGTGCCTTCTTCGGAATGGCTGCCAGCAGCCACTCGGCCTCTTTCAAGGCCCTTTATAAGCTGCCAGCAGCCACTCTACCTCTTTCAAGGCCCTTTATAAGCTGCCAGCAGCCACTCGGCCTCTTTCGAGGCCCTTTATAAGCTGCCAGCAGCTGCTCTGCCTCTCGTTGCCACTGAGCCAACTTTCTTTTATCTGGTAAGTGGTGTATTGCTGAACAACAAACCATTGCTTTTGAGTTGAATAAATAAGGGATTGTTCTTTCTTTGTTAACTCTAATGCGATATCTATCCAATCAGCTCTTCTATTCTTCTCTGGCCTTTGCTGAGGTGAATTTTGGGCTGGACTGATTGGAAGTATTTCTTTCTTTCTTTCTTTCTTTTCTTTCTTTCTTTCTTTATTTTCTGTTGGAGCCAAGTTGTCGCATCTGGTGAGGTGATTCATTTCCTGTACAACCTCTACCTGTGCCTGTGTGTGCCTTTGGTGTTGTTCCCTGCAGGGCGGATGGCACAGTGGTGGTAGCGGAAGCAAAGAGGGTGGGTGAGGGGATGGACGAGGGGGAGGAGGAAGACGTGGAAGTACAGGACATTCTAGATAACGGCGGACTCACTGTAGATACTTGTGAAAATGCTGCCAATAAAGGGGTTGTTCCTAGCGAGGACGCCCCAACTCCTCAGCCTCCTGCAGCAGGTGCTGCTGGAGCAGCACAAGCACCAGCGCAGCAAGCAGTGGTAGAAGCAGCTGCTGTAGACTCGTTAGCAGCGGCGACGGCAGCCCCTGTTCCGGCAGCAGCAGTGGCCCCTGTGCCTGAAAGGGATGTGCCGCCATTTGTAGCAGTAAGTCTCATTCCCCACCGCTTTCTCCCAGCTTCACCACGCTGCGACAGACACCAGTCTGCTGCTCTGATCCACCTCATTTTTGTCCCATGCGTTTTATTTCTTCAGGCGTGTAAAAAATTCTGATGCACCCTCAGTTCGGTCTCGTGCGTTTTGTTACTTGCACGGGGAGAATCATAACTGATTCCTCTCCTTACTGCCCCCACAGATAATGGATGCGCCGTCAACCCTGCTGCCGGCTGATTGGTCAGAGCTCACCAATACCATCATGATGCTCGCCTGGGCGGCATCGATCGGCTCGTTGCAGGCGATGGGGTCACCCAATCCGCATGCATTCGATACTGCAGCAGCTGTTGCTGTGAGTGAATTGTGCACGGTGTATGTATGTATGCGTGCACACAAGAAATGTACCCATGCAGAGCTGCATGTGTGCATGCGTCCATGTGTTGATGCATGCGTTCATACCAAATGTGCGTGCATGTTAGTGGTTTAAATGTCCTCTTGTGCTTGTCAAATACAAAATTTTAGGCGCCTATAAAATTATATTTTTGCTAGATTGTCCTCTTGTGCTCCTCCAAGGCAAGCCCTTGCAATGCATACCTACATACATCATGAATGTGCAATGCATACCTACATACATCATGAATGTGCAATGCATACCTACATACATCATGAATGTGCAATGCATACCTACATACATCATGAATGTGCAATGCATACCTACATACATCATGAATGTGCAATGCATACCTACATACATCATGAATGTGCAATGCATACCTACATACATTATGAATGTGTAATGCAACCCACACCTGCTAAAACCCATGTCACTTCGCTGCTCCCTGATTCACCTGTAGGGCTCTCTTCCAGCTTTCATCCTTCTTTTTACACCCCTCTCTCCTGCTTTTCCCTTCCATCCCTCCCGTCCCTTAACCGTCTCTCCTGTTTCTCCCATCTCCCATTGCTCCCACCATTGGCAGCACCTGGCCCTGCAGTCTGGGCTAAAGCAGCGGGTGGAGCGGGCCGGCTCGGGGAAGGGGGGAGGGGAGGAGAGCGATGAATCAGAGGACGAGGATGATGAGGAGGAAGCGGATGAGGATGGGGCGGATTCACCGTTGCATCCTGATGATGCGTGCCTGGCGATAGAAGGAGCAGTGGTGCTGGTGAGTGTGGTTTTCAGCTTTCTCTTCTGCTCCAACCACCCCTCCTCTTTTCCTCAATCCCAATTTCACCTTTGCTCTCTCTTTACGTGTACCCTTCCTTGTCCGCCTTCTTAAAACACAAGTGCCTGTTTTAGGAAGGGATCCTTTCCTAAACCGTTTCTTCCTAGAACATTGTTAAAATTATCCCCTCCATCCATTTTCTTTCCCACTTCCCCTCACTCCCGTCTCCGCCCCCCCTTCCCCCAACCCCCCACCTCTCCTTTTCGCATTTCTCTTTTCTCCAATCCAAATGCCTGGGCTGCCAAAGAGAGATTGCCACCATCCTCCTTCGTCTTTTATAGCCAGGGTCTCACGTAGAGAAAACTTCCATCAACTGCAAAACAGTTGAAGCTCGGTTACCTAGTTAGTGCACACCAAGTTCTCTGGTTGGGTTGGAAACTGAGCTTGCGACACACCCCCGTGAGTGCCCCAAGAGCAATTGCAAAACATTTATTGTGTACGTGAGAGTTTCGATGCGCTAGGGGCATTTTAGGTTTGGTTCCCAACCAAATTCCCAGACCTAGAAGGTTCAAGGGGGTCTGGCTATTCGCGTTCTCTTCGCACTCCTCGTTTCACCCCTCTACAAATCTTACACCTCGCCAACCAATCATATCCAAGAGTCAACCATCAATTGCAAAACACTTGCTGTACGTGAGACCCTGGCTTTAAGGCGCCTCAAAAGTCACCATCCTCCTTCATCTTTTCCCACTTAACCCTCGCTCCACCTTTCCTTCTTTCCTCTCCTTTCCTCCTCAATCCATTTTTCTTTCCTCTCCTCTCCTCCTTTCTCTGTCCTCGCAGTCTGAGTGCCTGGGCCACCGGCGAGAGATCGCCATTTCCCCGTCTTCACTCCCTCTTCCCCCACTCCCCTTCGCCCCCCTTTCCTCCCATTCTCCTTTTGTCTGTCCTCGCAGTCTGAGTGCCTGGCCCGCCGGCGAGAGATCGCCGCCATCCTCTTCGCCTCTCATTTCGTTTCCAGATTCATCGTTGTGAGTCCCCTTCCATTCAACACTCATTTCGTTTCCAGATTCATCGTTGTGAGTCCCCTTCCATTCAACACTCATTTCGTTTCCAGATTCATCGTTGTGAGTCCCCTTCCATTCAACATTCTCCATCCCATTCCTTTCTTTCCACCACGCCACGATGTGCGGTCAACAATCGTTGCTGTGGCCAACAGCATCTTTCTCTCTAGTAATCATATGTATGAGGACGTTGTTCAATGAATGTTCACCACAAATGCATCCGTACCCTTCCCTTTGAGGGTAATCACTCCGACTTTCTGGAATTGCCTCATGACTCGCTCGTGGTTTCACCTTTGCTGCTCTTGTGCCCTGAATTGTTCGCTATGAATGAATCCTTATCCTTCTCCTTGTGCCCGCTTCTTCTGCACACACCTCTTGGATTCTCTCAGCTCGCCTCGCCTGCCCCTATTACAGGATGTTTTCAGAATCAACTTCAAAGCTCTTCCTTTCCCTATCGCCTTGTGCCCTGCCTCTCCTAACGTTTCTTGCTCCTGCCCACCACTAATTCGCTTGCCGTCCCGTCCCCTCTTCTTCCCACGCTGGCACCTCCCCCCAGGACACCTGCTTGCACTGCCCAGAAACCGAGATTCGATACAAATTCGCGGAGCTCTTTCTCCACATAAGGTACTGTGCTGGTGTCCATCAAAATATGTAGTTTGCTTGTTTCCAGTTTTATTGTTGTTGTTGTTGTTTTTTTTTTTTTTTTTCAACCCTGATATTTACTTACCTCTACGAAATTGACATTCCTCTGTATCGTTTTCCCAGCCCAGCCATCCAGTCCTCCTGCTAGCACCGTGCCAACACACACACACACACGCACGCACGCACGCACGCACGCACGCACGCACGTAATCAACCCTTTCCCCCCTCATCTCTCTTCTTGTGTGCTCCCATTCTCCCGCCCAACCGTCCTCCCAACGCAACAGCTTGGAGAAGTGGCCGCCCCTTCCTTCCTCCACCACACAGCCAGCAGCACCACCAGTCGCACCAGCTTCCACAGCACTACCAGCAGCAGCAGCAGCAACGGCATCACGAGCAGCAGCAGCAGTGACAGGCCAGGCTGGTGCCACTCTCGGCCTCCCAGGCCTTACTGCACGCCCCTTCACATCCATCCACTCCTACATCTTCCACTCCCTCGCCTCTGCCCGCGCTGCTGCTGACAAGCAACCAAAACACAACAGACCAGTGAGTGCACGACCAAGCTGTGCAGAGCGGTGAGAAGCGGTGGAGTGGTGGACAGGAACGTTGCATCAATGCTTTTGCTTTCTTTGCGGTGGAGGGGACATCTCCTTTGTTGACGTCTGTTTATCCCTCTCTCCTCTCATCTCAACCCCACTTCTCTCAAACCCCCCCCCCCCTCCCCCCCCCCCCCCCTCCAAACCCCCCCTCTCATCCCCCCTTCTCTCAACCCCTCCAGTACTGGGAGGGAGCAGCTATGCAAGGTGGTGCACCCGCTGGTTGCTCCTATGCGTCATATTTCCTCTGATGACGTCTCTCGATCTCCCTCTCCTCCCCTCTTTCCCCACCCTCCCCCCCCTCCAGTACTGGGAGTTGCTATGCAAGGTGGTGCAGGGGGTGTATCTTCGAGACGAGGAGGAAGCTGTCAGGAAGCTTCTGGACGAGGAGATTCGCTGGCTGCAGCACGTGACATGGGAAATGGACGGCAGGGAAGAGGTGAGGAGTGAGGAGGTTCGCAAACATGAAGAGATGAGAGAGCGCATAGAAGATTTACACTCGGCTTCGTTTTTTTCTCAAGAACCAACTCGTCTCAGGTGCGTGTCTATCTAATTCTCCTTGTCCGTTCACCTCCTTATCTTTGCTCACCTCCTCTCTCCCCTTCTCAAGGGACGACCATTCCCCGCTGCTCAAGGTGCTTGTGGAGGTGTTGGAGAGTCTACACCTCCAATGCTAATGCTCTTGAAACTGGAATGCTCATTTCTATACAGTGTCGGAGAGTCAACCAGACTCAACGCTGAAGAGTTTTCCCCCTTGCCACACCACACCCCAGTTTTTGGAGGGCCATCTGCTGCTGCTCAGAGTGCTCGTGGAGGTGCTGCCTGCTTGTGGAGGTGTTGGAGTGCCCCGTTTCTACAAACCTGATAATGCTAACAAGTTTCTCCCTCCCTGCCTCACCCCAGTTGTTGGAGGGCCATCTGCTGCTGCTCAAGGTGCTCGTGGAGGTGCTGGAGTGCCCACTTTTAACAGTCAGTCGTTATTGCCTTCCTTCTTCTTCCCACACCACACCCCAGCTGCTGGAAGGCCATCTGGCGCTGCTCAAAGGGCTGGTGGAGGTGTTAGAGTGCCCTCTCTCCACAAACCTAATGCTCATAACCTTCTGCTTCGCCTTCCTTGCCATGCTCCACCCCAGCTGCTGGAGGGCCATCTGCTGCTGCTCAAGGTGCTCGTGGAGGTGTTAGAGTGCCGCCAGCTCGTTGCCTGCTCTCCACCACACGGCCATGGAATTTTGCACCTGGTACGCTGTGTGCTGGGAGGAAGAGGGGAGAGGTAGAGGGGTAGAGTACAAGAAAATGAGGTTTTGGTTGAGTGCACCATTTTCCAGTCGACTCAAAAGCCAGGATTATGGCATGTTCCCATCAGCATAAGTTGATGTTTCTGGTTCTTACCACCGGGCATGTTTCTGCTTTTTGATCGATTTCCTCTTATTCATTGTCGCCTCCATTTCTCGCTCCCTCCCTCTTTCCCCTCCCGGCAGCTCATCACTCGCTGCCTCTTCCCTGAATGGCCGGTGGTTGTTCCAAGCCACCAGCAAATACAACCGACACAGCAGCAACACCAACAACACCACCACCACAACCACCAACAACAACAACACCAGCAACAACAGCAGCAGCCGCCTGGCGAATCCTCCCCCCCAACGACCTGGGGGCTTCTCTCCTCTCATCCCCGCGATGCTGCAGTTTTCCGCCCCCTCTGCTCCGCCTCGCCCTCGCGCAATGCTGCCTTCACGCTTCTCATCGCCCTCTGCGCCAAGGTGTGTACATGCGTGCGTGCGTGTGTGTGTGTGTGCGTGCGTGCGTGCTTGCGTGCGTGCGTGTGTGTGTCTGTGTGTGCCCGTGCATGCATGCGTGCGTGTGTGTGCATGCTTGTGTTTGTTTGTGTGTTTGTTTCACATCACTTTATAGCTTTCAAACTGCTACGGCGGATGTTGCTGCTCATTTTGAACCAACTCAAAAGCCCCTTCGCCCTATCCTCTCCTCCTCGTCCTCCTGCAACGCTGCATTCACACACCTCCTTCCCCTCTGCAGCAGCGCGGGGTTACTGTTAAGTTTCTCTTACATGTGACATTAGGTTGAAACATTCGAGGCTACTGTAGATTCGCCCTACTCAGAACACTCCTTCTTCTGCCAGTCGTTCTCCCCTCTCTTTCCTCCACACAGACCCCAGAAGCCCTACGGGAGCTAGTAACGTTGCTGCTGCCATTGCATTAATATGCCTCACAGCATTTTCCCGCAACCTGTGACTTCCTTCCTCCCATTGCCTCCACCACACAGACTTTGAAAGCTCTACGCGATCTTGCCTCGCTGCTGCTGCCGTTGCACTTTGCCTCGGTGGAGCTTCAAGGCGCCTCATAGCACTCCCCCCTTCACCTGTTATCCCCTCTTCTCCCCTCTCTCCTCTCTTCCCCTCGCTCCTCTCTTCCCCCCTCTCTCTTCCACGCAGACCCCTGAAGCCCTACGTGAGCTGGCCTCCCTGCTGCTGCCGCTGCACTTTGCCTCGGTGGAGCACGAGTTGCCATCATGGGAGTACCTCCCCAGCTGCGCCCCCCGGCCTCGGGCAGGCTATTCGGGTCTCAAGAACGCAGGTACTTGTGTATACTAGCACACCTTGCTGCTCCTCGTGAATCTAGCTGCACTTCGCCTCGGTGGAGCACGAGTTGCCGTCGTGGGAGTACCTCCCCAGCTGCGCCCCTCGGCCTCGGGTGGGATACGCGGGGCTCAAGAATGCAGGTATGTACCAAAAATGTAGGCCGTGCAAGAATGCCTGTATGCCGTGCAAGAATACATGTATGTCCTGCATGCGTTCCGTCAAGGCTACAAGACCTTGCCGCCGCTCACAAATCTCAATGCGCTTTGCCTCTCTTGAGCATGAGCTGCCGTCATGGAAATACCTCCCCAGCTGTGCTCCCCTCCCCGGCCACGTGCAGCCTATAGGAGCGAGCAGCTGGTCTCAAGCTATGCTGCTTGCACCTGACGCTCCAAAACTGGAGCGTGCGATATGAACAGTGTATTCCAGCATGAAATGTCCAGCGCCTGTTGCATGAACAGCATGAAATGTCCAGCGTCTGTTGCATGAACAGCATGAAATGCCTTCATGGAGCCCCCAGCGCCTGTTGAGTCAACTCAAACGTTGAGGCTGCTGTTTCCCTCCGCACCTTGTCCCTGCTTTACCTGTCCCCATCCCAAGGAACCACGTGCCACATGAACAGTGTGTTCCAGCAGCGCTTCATGCAGCCCCAAGGGCCGTTCAAGTCAACTCAAGAGCCTCTCTATGCTTCCCATTCAAACTCACATGTTTTGCCTCCCTCCCAGGAGCCACGTGCTACATGAACAGTGTTTTCAGCAGCTCTTCATACAGCTTCACCCAAGTGCCTCTATAGTCAGCTCAGTAACTTGTCTTCCCTCTCTCATTGACCATCCTGTCTTGCCCACCAGGAGCCACGTGCTACATGAACAGTGTGTTCCAGCAGCTCTTCATGCAGCCCCAAGTGCGCCGCGCCCTCCTCGCTTTTCCTGAGACGCCCGAGTCGGACCGACCACTATCCGTGATCTACCAAGTGCAGGTAATATGCGGGACTTATGCCTTCTACTGGGACAGGCTATTGAGGGGTACAGATAGCCTCCACTGCACTGCGCTGTGTTTCATTCCCTCTGTTTCTGTTAAGAATTCTCAAATGCGACACGAAGGTGATATACAGGCGATGACACATGATTCGTTCCCTGACCTCCCTTCCCCTCGTCCTGCCGTCTCCTCTTTTACTCTTCTCTTCTTTTAAGATCTCTCCCATCTTCTCCCCGTCTTCCACTGCAGGCCATCTTCAGCTATCTGCTAGCCGGCTGTGCCGACTACTTCGTGCCAGAAGGTTTCTGGGATGCCTTCAGGGACTATGATGGGCAGCCGGTGAACCTGAGGGAGCACCAGGACGCGTTTGAGTTCTTCAACCGCCTCTACGACTCGCTGGATGAGAGCATGAAGGCTCAGCGGCACTCCCCCACGCTCACCTCCATTTTTGGCGGACATTTTGCACAGCAGGTGTGTGTGTGTGTGCGTGGGATGGTAGTTCCTGCAGCATGCTTATGGTATGTATGTGTTGGACCGCCTTTGAGTTCTTCAACCGCCTCTATGACTCTCTGGATGAGAGCATGAAGGCTCAACGGCTCTCCCCCACACTGACTTCTATCTTTGGTGGCGCGTTCGCTCAACAGGTGCGTGGTGTGGTGCGGTGGGAGGGGCAGGGGTGGGTGTAGTGTAGTGTGATGTGGTGTGATGTGGTTTGATGTGGTGTGATGTGGTGTGATGCCTATCCCCCCCTATCTTCTCCCTACCACACCTCCCCGTCCCCACTTCCAACCACCACCCCCACCCCACTCCTCCTCCCTCCCCGTGTGCTGCAAATCATCTGTCGAGGCTGCCCCCATCGCAGTGAGAGGGAGGAGCCATTTGCAGCAGTGAGTGTGGACGTGAAGGGAAAGCGCGGTCTGCAGGAGTCACTAGAGGCTTTTTCCCCCCTTTATCACCAGACACGCATCTCCCTCATTCCCTCCCTTCCCTTTCCTCTTTCCCCTGTGCAGATCATCTGTCGAGGCTGCCCCCATCGCAGTGAGAGGGAGGAGCCATTCGCAGCAGTGAGTGTGGACGTGAAGGGAAAGCGCGGTCTGCAGGAGTCTCTAGAGGCTTTTTCCCCCCTTTATCACCAGACACGCATCTCCCTCATTCCCTCCCTTCCCTTTCCTCTTTCCCCTGTGCAGATCATCTGTCGAGGCTGCCCCCATCGCAGTGAGAGGGAGGAGCCATTCGCAGCAGTGAGTGTGGACGTGAAGGGAAAGCGCGGTCTGCAGGAGTCTCTAGAGGCGTTTGTGCAAGGGGACCTGCTGGAGGCGGATAACGCCTACTTCTGTGGGCAGTGCGGCAAGAAGGTGAGCCGCAGCAGGGGGGTGTTGTGATGATGAGTCGACTCAAAGGCACCACAGCTTGCCACAATGCCTGCTTGCACACTGCTGGGCAAGCGCGGTCTGCAGGAGTCGCTAGAGGCGTTTGTGCAGGGCGACCTGCTGGAGGCAGATAACGCCTTCTTCTGTGGGCAGTGCGGCAAGAAGGTGAGCCGCAGCAGGGCGTTAGGGTGGTGGATGATGTTAAGCTGAGCGCCACAGTGCCTGCCCTCACAATGCCTTAGTGCTGCTGAAGGGCAAGTGTGGCCTGCAGGAGTCGCTAGAGGCGTTTGTGCAAGGCGACCTGCTGTGCTGGAGGCAGATAACGCCTACTTCTGTGGGCAGTGCGGCAAGAAGGTGAGCGGCAGCAGAGGGTGGGTGGGTGGTGAGTACAATGGGCTTGTGAGTCGATGCAGAAAGCACCACAGCACGCCACGTTGCCTGAATGCTGAAGGGCGAGCGCGGCCTGCAGGAGTCACTGGAGGCGTTTGTGCAAGGGGACCTGCTCAAGGCAAATAATGCCTACTTCTGTGGGCAGTGCGGCAAGAAGGTGAGTGGCAGCAGCAGGGGGTAGCTAGGCAGGGCGGTGTTTGAAGAGCACCGAGCATCACAATGCCTGCTTTATTGCCTTAGTGCTGTTGCTGGAGGCAGATAACGCCTACTTCTGTAGGCAGTGCGGCAAGAAGGTGAGTGGCAGGGGATGGGGTTGTTGGTGGGTGGTGGTGGTGTTTGTGAGGGAAGTGTGCAGAGTTGCTCTATGCCTTAACGCCCATTTGAGCCGCCTAAAGAAACAAAAATCTTTCCCCATTTTGTCCCTCGTTACATCCCTCACTCACCCCTCGTTTTACCCGTACTGCTTGCTGCAGGTGGATGCATTGAAGCGTGTGTGCATCAAGTCCCTGCCTTTTGGGCCGACCAAATAAAATAAAAATTGCTCCACACTCTGCCCACGTTTCGCCCCTCATCATGCCTGTACCTTTTTCAGGTGGACGCACTGAAGCGTGCGTGCATCAAGACCCTGCCGCCCACCCTGATAATTCACCTGAAGCGCTTCGACTTTGACTACGAGACGATGCAGCGGCTGAAGCTGAAGGACCGATTCACCTTCCCCCTCACTCTCAACATGCGGCCTTTCACCCGCGAGGGGCTCGCTCAGAAGGAGAGAGAGCAGAGAAGGGGACGGGTAGGGGATGTGGAGAGGAGGGCGGAGGGGAGGGAGGAGGGGGGAGAGAGAGAGCAGGGGCGGGAGGAGGGAGAGGGGGAGGAGAGGGCGCAGCGAAGGGTGGAGGAGGAGGGTAAAGGAGAAAGGGGGCCTGGAAGTGGTAAGGAAGTAAATGAGGATAGGGTTGAAGGACGTGTGGAGGAGAAGGGAGGTGAGGGTGGGGAGGGGAGGAATGATGGGTATTATGAGTACAGCTTGGTGGGGGTGGTGGTGCATTCTGGGACAGCGTTTGCGGGGCATTATTACTCGTACATCAAGGAGAGGAGCGGCGATTCTCCGCTGCATCACAGCCGTCCATCTCAATCCGTGCGGTCGAAGTGAGTCAAGCGGAGGGCAGTGGGTGAGACGATGGCTGAGCGAGTCAAAAGTGGGTCAAGCAGAGTTGCATTGGGTCAGACAAAGTCAGAAGGAGTGAAAGCGAGGTAAGCAGAGCTGCAAATGGTCTGAGCGAGTCAACGTGGGTCAAGCAGAGCTGCAGTGGATCGGATCAGACAAAGTCAAAGCGGGTCAAGGGGATGTGTGAGTGGTCGGAAGAGAGTCAAACTAAGTCAACGGGAGCGAGCGGCATCAGAAGGTATGGCGGCCCATGCATGCATGTGTGAAGATTTAAACTCATTCTCACCCCCCTGTTGTGTGCAACATCTCAACCCCCATGTGTGTGTGCAGGCAGCGGTGGCTGTGCTTCGATGACAAGCGGGTGGGGTGGAGGCGTATGACGTGAGAGAGCTGGAGAAGGCCAGGACTTACTCTTATGCATGCACATGCACTCGTCATATCACCCCCCTGAGTGTGTGCAGGCAGCGGTGGCTGTGCTTCGATGACAAGCGGGTGGGGTGGAGGCGTACGACGTGAGAGAGGTGGAGAAGGCACGGGCTTTTGGGTCACCACGAGGCTGCACTCATGCATGCACATGCACTTGTGCCACCCACCCCCCTGTGTGTTCTTACAGGCAGCGGTGGCTGTGCTTCGATGACAAGCGGGTGGGGTGGAGGCGTACGACGTGAGAGAGGTGGAGAAGGCACGGGCTTTTGGGTCACCACGAGGCTGCACTCATGCATGCACATGCACTTGTGCCACCCACCCCCCTGTGTGTTCTTACAGGCAGCGGTGGCTGTGCTTCGATGACAAGCGGGTGGGGTGGAGGCGTACGACGTGAGAGAGGTGGAGAAGGCACGGGCTTTTGGGTCACCACGAGGCTGCACTCATGCATGCACATGCACTTGTGCCACCCACCCCCCTGTGTGTTCTTACAGGCAGCGGTGGCTGTGCTTCGATGACAAGCGGGTGGAGTGGAGGCATACGACGTGAGAGAGGTGGGGAAGGACTGCTTGGGAGTGGACTGAAGTCACACACATTCACACCCCCCACTTCTGTGTGTATGCAGGCAGCGGTGGCTGTGCTTCGATGACAAGCGGGTGGAGGCATACGATGTGAGGGAGTTGGAGAAGGACTGCTTCGGAGGGAAGTACTCCGCTGAGGTGTATGACAACCTCATCAAGACCTCTTCGCCACAGGAGTTTGACCGACCCAACAGCGCCTACATGCTGTTCTATGAGCGGAATGCCCCCACTGCTGCTGGCGCCAGCACCACCAGTACTGCTGCTATGGCTGCCGATGCCCCTGCCGCTACCACTGCCACCACCACTGCTGCCACCACTGCCACCGGTGGTGCTGTCAATACAGCTGCAACTGCAGAAGGGCTGAGGGCAACAGGAGAGGCGCCAGCAGCCGCAGCAACGGCAGAGACAGCAGCAGGCGGCCCAACCACCACCACCATGATCACCCCATGCACAGCAGCAGAGGAGAGGGTAGATGAAGCGGTGGAGCCATATAGCATCCCTCCCAGCATACACCACTGCGTGTGGCAAGACAACCTCAGGTAGGTAGGGGACAACGGCATTACGTAGGTCAGAAGCAGGATGGCTGCTGCTGATCCACATATGCTTGGACTCCCATGTGTATTCGAGTCACCTCACAGCGAACCACAATCATCCCTTGCCACCCTCCCCCCCTCATGTATCCAGCACCAGTACTCACAGCTGCTGGCCCGGATGTACAGACGCTTGCTCCCATGTATGAGGCATTTTGAAACAAACACGCATTCCTTCCCATCGGTTCTCCTCAGCACAGGGCTTTCCCTGCCTCTGTGCATCCATCCGTGTTCATGGCAGGTGCGATGCGAGCAGGAGTCACGGCTATTGGATTGGATCATACATGAGGGACCTTGAAACGAATATACTTATCCCTTCCCACCGTCCCCCTTCCTCTGTCCATCCATTGAACAGGTTTCAGCAGGAGTCGCGGCTGTTGGATCAGACATACTTCCGTTTCCTGCTGCAGCTCGCACGGGTCAACCTCGACGTCTTCCAAATGTCAGTCCCCACCACCTTCCTTCCTTTGCCTTCCCCATCCCATTTTCATCACCGCCTGTCGCGAAAAAGACGATGTTCGAGGCACCTAGAGAGCTGTTGTTGCCTCGCGAATCACCATTGACATGTCATTTCCTCAACATGCCATGAGACATCCATGTTTCTTCCCCTTGCTGCCTTGTCACAGCCTATCTGCTTCCTCCCCACGTCCCTTCCCCTTACCAGGTGCCACGATCGAGGCAAGATGGCGGCCTTATCAGACGCAAGGGCAGGCGGGGTGAAGGCGTCACCACAGCGCAGCGAAGCACTGCGGGTGGAGCGAGCAGCAGAGGAGACGGCAGAGGCGCTGCTGTCGCTGCTGCTGCCGTTCCTCTTCCGCGTCTACCTGAGAGCGCATGCCAGCCTAAGGACAGAGGATCCACTCTGGACGGTAAGGGGCTTGTGGGGCGGAATAAAGGGGATGATAGTTGTTCTTCCTGCTGCTGCCATTCCTCTTCCGGGTCTACTTGTGTGTGCATACCAGCCTAAGGACAGAGGATCCTCTCTGGACGGTAAGGGGCCAATGTGGGGGGAGAGAATTGAATAGTATAGAGGGAACGATTCTCCTTTCACCTGCTGCTGCTGCCGTTCCTCTTCCGCGTCTACTTGTGTGCGCATACCAGCCTAAGGACAGAGGATCCTCTCTGGACGGTAAGGGGGTGATGGTGAGGGACAGGATAGAAAAGAGGGAATGTTTCCCCTTTCGTCTGCTGCTGCTGCCGCTGCTGCTGCCGCTGCTGCCATTCCGCTTCCGTATCTACTTCCTAGCGCATGCCAGCTTAAGGACAGAAGACCCTCTCTGGACGGTAAGGGGCCGGTGGGAGAAGGGGATAGAGGGGGTGTACTGTATCTTCCGCTACCACTGCCGTTCCTCTTCCAGACTCACTTGCAATTGCAAGTGCATGCCAACCTCAGGACAGAAGATCCCCATTAGATGGTGAGTGGCAGATGGGGGTTGGTAGATGCATGGCTGGGGCAACACTCCCCGCTCTCTCCCCTCGCCCCGTCTTCGTTCCATGATTCCATCCCCCTCGACGCATCACATCACTGTCAGAAAATTGTAGCCTTCACTCCAGTTCTATGACAGAGGCTGGCCGCCAACAGCACAGCCTGTCGCCTCTTCAACGCCAGGCTGGCGAGCAACGCTCTGATATGTGTCTTGTTGGCTCAACTCACTCCTCTCCCCTTGCACATTCTCCTCCTCCCATTGCAATGCCCCACAGGACGTGCTATCTCGCATGCTCGACGCCAACAGCACGGCCTGCCGCCTCTTCAACGTTCAACACTCGTGTGCTCCCCCTCATTGTTCCATTCCCCCAATGCATAACATCACACCACCCCACACCACACCACAGGACGTGCTATCGCGCATGCTGGACGCCAACAGCACAGCATGTCGCCTCTTCAACGCGCGCATGGCGGGCAACAGGCGGTGGCTCTTGCACTTCCTCCTCAAGTGCCCCATCAACGCCATCTCCGTGGTACGTTGAGTTGTGAGATGTCACAATGTGAGCATAGCAGCGGGCAACAGGCGGTGGCTCTTGCACTTCCTCCTTAAATGCCCCATCAACGCCATCTCTGTGGTATGTCGACTTTCGCGAGGTCTCTTAATGCACGCTTTGCAACAAGAGGCTGTGGTGGCTCTTGCGATTCCTCCTCAAATGCCCCATCAACGCCATCTCCGTGGTACGTCTTAGCTGAATCACGTTCAGTTGCGAATTCTCAAACGGAGAATGAAATGCTCCCATCAACTCCATCCACCTCTTTTCTCCTTCCCTCTTTCCACCAGTCTGTAGCCGACCTGCTGGTAACCAGCTGCCACATTTATAGCAAGGCCTCAATGCACCTCCTCCCACCCGTCACCTTCCACCTCCCTTCCTTCCCCCCATCCTTCCCACCAGTCTGTTGCAGACCTGCTGGTAAACTGTCACATCACTAGCAGGGCCTCAATGCACCTCCTCCCACCTCCTTTCCCCTTCCCCCTTTTCCACCAGGCTGTAGCGGATCTGCTGGTAACCAGCTGTCACAGCGCCACCTGCTTCGTTAACGCACGTCCATTGGCTGCTGGTTCAACAGTGCCCACTGCAACTCCTGCTGCGGCTGCTGCTGCAGCAGGAGGAGCTCCTGAAGGGTCGGCAGGGGATGCTGGGGCAGCTGGAGCAGCAGGAGGGGCAGGGGCAGGTGCGGCAGGGGAAGATGCATTGAATGTGGACGCGCTGATTGATTCGCTGGTGTCGCTGCTGAGAGACGCCAGTGGCCCCTCCTGCCACGTGGACAACGTGAGTGATCTATTTTTGTGAATTCAAGAAGATGCATCGAATGTGGACGCATTGATTGATTCGCTGGTGTCACTGTTGAGAGACGCATTTCCCCCATCTGACGTGTTGACAACGTGAGTGAGCTACTATTGAGAATTCTCAAAAGCAAGATGCATCGAATGTGGACGCGCTGATTGATTCGATGGTGTCGCTGCGGAGAGACGCCAGTGCCCCCTCCTGCCACGTGGACAACGTGAGTGACCTGCTGGCTAGTCATGATTCTTGTGGTTACCCTGTTTACTTCTGGTTACCCGATTTCTGCTGGTTTTGATAGCTATATAGCTCCCCGCTCGATTCTCTCTTCTTGCTCCCCTCCCCTCCCCCACCCCTACCCCCATCTTTGGGACCTCTCAACACAAAAGTGCTTTCTTTTCTCCTCTTGTTTCCCTCCTCTCCCCTCCCTTCCCCGCCCTGCAGCTCTGCAGCATCTTCGTGGAGTATGCCCGCATCAACCCAACCCAGCATCCAGCCCTTCACCTCCCTGCTCTGTGCTTGTCATTCCTCTCTCCTCTTGCTCCCCTGCCCTCCCTTCCCCGCCCTGCAGCTCTGCAGCTTGGTGAAATATGCCTGCATCGGCCTTACACGGCATCTCTCCCTCATCCACCAACCAGCCGTTTACCTTCCTCCTTGTGCTTGACTCTGCGCTCTCCTCTCATTCCCCTCCCCCCGGCCACTCCCTGCAGCTGTGCAGCATATTGGTGGAGTATGCACGCATCGGCCCCACCCAGCGCCTCTCCCTCATTCGCAGACAGCTGCCCGCCACCTGTGTACGTGCTGTGAGGTGCTGTGAGGTGCTGTGAGGTGCTGTGAGGTGCTGTGAGGTGCTGTGAGGTGCTGTGAAGTGCTTTGAGATGCCATGAAGTGCTTTGAGGTGCCGTGAAGTGCTTTGAGGTGCCGTGAAGTGCTTTGAGGTGCCGTGAAGTGCTTTGAGGTGCCGTGAAGTGCTTTGAGGTGCCGTGAAGTGCTTTGAGGTGCTGTGAAGTGCTTTGAGGTGCTGTGAGGCTGTGATAAGTGCCGTGAGCTGGCCCAGCCTCGCTCTGCCTTGGGTGGTGTTTTGAGACGTCTCAATTCTTATCCACCGAAAGTTGCCCGCCTCACCTATACTTGGAGAGTGAGCTTGCGTTGAGTGCTGGAAGTGCTGTTGGTGCGTGTTGGAGAGCTATGCTCTCCCACCGTGTGGTCGGTCTAGAGCAATGCCTGCGTACATGCGTTAGAAGCGAACACGGAAAGAGTATGTTCGTCTTATGCTTTTCCCATTGTGCTTTGCTGTCCTCAATGCCTTCTGCCTACTCGTCCTACTTCCTTCCCCGTCTGCAGCTGGACAATCTCGATCAAATGGGAATCGCAGCAGCAGCAAAGCTCCATCTCTCTCCCTTCCACTCCCTCCTCTCCATCCCCATCCGCTCCTGCTACCCCCAGTTGTCCCCTTTCTCTTGACTCAGCTCATTTCCTTTCCTTCACCCCGCCCCCTTCCCGCTCCCCCTTGCAGCTGGGCTATCTGGACCGAGTGGGAATCGCAGCAGCAGCCAAGCTCCATCTCTCGCCCCTCCACCCCCTCCTCTCCATCCTCATCAGTTCCTGCCACCCCCAGTTGTCCCCAGTCTCTTGACTCACCTCCACATTTTTCTTTACCCATTCCCTTCCCCTCTCCCCCTTTCCAGCTGGACTATCTCGATCGAGTGGGCATTGCAGCAGCAGCCAGGCTGCATCTCTCGCCCCTCCACTCCCTCCTCTCCATCCTCATCCGTTCCTGTCACCCCCGCCCACCCCCCTCTCGCCGCCCCACCCCCGCTTCCACCCCCGCATCTGGGGGGAACGAGGGGGGTGATGAGGAGGGGGGAGGGGAAGGGGACGAGGGGGGAGGGGAAGCAAGAGCGCATGGCAAGGGAGGGGGGAGGAGGAAGGGGGAGGGGAGGCCGCATGGGAAGGAAGAGAGGGGCAAGGGGAAGGCAGGGCAAGGGGGGGGGAGAGAGGCGGAAGGGGCGTAGTGGGGTGTCTGCAGGGGCGGCAGGGGCAGTGGGGGAGGCGGAAGAGGAGGGGGAGGAGGAGGAGGACGCTGGGTTGCAAAATCCGGCGTTTTTTGGCCGCCCGGTGGCGGTGCTGCCGCCCCGTGTTGCTCAGCTTGCGTCGGATCCGGAATACGTCAATTTGCTGGTTAGTAGTTTCTGTCTATGCTGGTGTGGAATGTTGGTGAGGTAACCATGTCAAGTTGCCACTAACGTGTTGGATACTCTGTGCTGGTGTGGGATGGACGGAGGCAGGGGATACCATGTTGCACATTTTTCTGAATTCTCAAGTTTCTGCTTTCCTGGTAACCTCCTCTCCCATTTCCCCTTTCCTCTTCCCACTCCTCTCGCCCGCTCCCATCCCTTCCCCCAGATCACATCCAATCTGGACAACCACGACACCATCTCTCTCCTCCTGTACATCTCCTTTGGCAACGAGAGCGAAAGCATCGTACGTCTCTACGTCCGTCCTTCCTTTCCTGTTAGCTTATGCAAGGCCAATGAGTTTGCTGCAGCATGCTGCTTTCAACCTGTGGCATTGCTCGCACCACCCCTTCCCTCGCTGCATTTTCCCTCTCCCCCTTTTTTCCACGTACCTGTCTGTGTGTGGTTTCATAGACTTTGCTTCGTGAGGCCATGATATTTCTACAGTGCGCCGCTGTCACATCATCTAGTTGACTTTTGAGTCGACTCAAAAGTCATCTCTCTACAGTGCGCCGCTGTCACATCATCTCGTTGACTTTTGAGTCGACTCAAAAGTCATCTCTCTACAGTGCGCCGCTGTCACATCATCTCGTTGACTTTTGAGTCGACTCAAAAGTCATCTCTCTACAGTGCGCCACTGTCACATCATCTCGTTGACTTTTGAGTCGACTCAAAAGTCATCTCTCTACAGTGCGCCGCTGTCACATCATCTCGTTGACTTTTGAGTCGACTCAAAAGTCATCTCTCTACAGTGCGCCGCTGTCACATCATCTCGTTGACTTTTGAGTCGACTCAAAAGTCATCTCTCTACAGTGCGCCGCTGTCACATCATCTCGTTGACTTTTGAGTCGACTCAAAAGTCATCTCTCTACAGTGCGCCGCTGTCACATCATCTCGTTGACTTTTGAGTCGACTCAAAAGTCATCTCTCTACAGTGCGCCGCTGTCACATCATCTCGTCCCATTGTTCTCAAGCCTGACACTCTTTCGGCCCGCCCCCCGTCTCCCAATCCCAACCATGCTCGGAATTGTGCCCATGTGTACTCCCACTCTTTCTTAGACCGTACTTCGTGAGGCCATGAGCTCGCTGCAACGAGCAGCAGTCACGTCATCTCGCCGCATTCTCTCGCTGCTGCTGCACCTACTCAAGCTGCCAGATTCCCTTCAAGAGGTATGCGCACACACATACACACACGCACTTCAACACACAAGCACTATGATCCCTGGTCCCTTCACACACTTGTCCTCTCTCTGCTGCTCCACCTCCTCGCGCTGCCATATGCCTTTCAAGAGGTATGCGTGTGCACACACTCGGACAGAGACATTCGCACGCACGCACTCACACAAGCACACACAAGCGCACTTCCACAATCATACACTCAAACCCCTCGTCCCTTCACACACTTGTCACTCACACACCGAGTCCGCACCGCACGCACAGCACTTCCTGTTTCACACACATGTTCCGTTTCTTTCTGCATCTGCCTCTGCATGCGTGTGTGTGTGGGCACGGCAGGAGTCAGGTCGAGTCAGTGGTGAACCAGTGCCAGATTTTTCTTCCAATCATTCCTGCTTCCCGCAGGTTTTCAATCAATCTACACAAGAATCGTGCGCTCCTGTTTCACACTTATCTCACATCTGTTTCAGCATGTGTTTGGCCCCATAGGCATGCCAGGAGTCGGTGGTGAACGGCTGCCAGTTCCTCCGCCCAGCCATTCCTGTCTCACACATTTCTTGCATGTGTCTCTGCACTTGCCTCTGCACTTGTCTCTGCATCTGTCCCTATACATCTGTGTGTGTCCGCACAGGCACGCCAGGAGTCAGTGGTGAACGGCTGCCAGTTCTTCCGCCCAGCCATTCCTGTCTCACACATTTCTTGCATGTGTCTCTGCACTTGCCTCTGCATGTGTTGCTGCACATGTGTCACCTCACAGGCACGCCAGGAGTCCGTGGTGAACGGTTGCCAGTTTTTCCGCCCAGGCGTCTTCGACCTCCTTCTCGCCAAGGTACCCCTCTTCCCTGCCTGCCAACTATATTGCAGGGATTTTCTGAGAATTCTCAAAAAATCCCTCCAAGGTACCGGCAAGTATCCCTTCTGAAGCACTTCGCAATCTTAAAGTTTCTGCTGGCAACGGCGGCCTTCAGCACCATGTCACACCTCTTACCACCCATCCCCTTCCTTCCTTTCAACCAGTCCCCACCTCTTCCCCCCCCCCCCCCCCCCCCCCCACCACCAGCAAGTGTCCCCCCTAAAGCGCTACGCCCTCCTCAAGTTCCTACTGGCAACAGCAGCCTTCAGCACCATGTCGCGGCGCCACATCGCGGTGAGGCGAGCAGACCTGAGCGCCGTGCTGCAGTGGCTGCAGGAGGAGACTGCCAACGCGCCCGGGCACGATCTGTCCAATGAGGAGCTGCCATCTGGCACGCTGCGCCGCACTGCCACTGTGGATTCGACCATCGCCACAGGGCTGAGTCTCATCAGCCTGCCGCACGAACCCAATGCATGAAGTCAAGTGCTGGTAACATGGTAACTGTGTGGGTGTGGCGTGTGCTGTGCCGCACTGCCACTGTTGACTCGACTATTGCCACGGGGCTAAGGAGTCCCGTCAGCCTACCACATGAACCCACTGCATGAATCTGTAACAGGGTGGGGTGGGCCTGTGACGTGTGCTGCACAGCACGGCCACTGTGCGCTGTACCATTACCACGGACCTGAGTCTCTTTGGCCTGCTGCACGAGCCAACCATCTCAAGTGAGCTGCTGGTAACGGAGTAATGTAACACCATGGGACCATGGTGACTGGTAACCTGGTGTCCTGGTAACGGGCTGCTGGTTGCAAGTGAAGGGAGCTACCCCTGAACTGCACTGCTGGGCAGGAGCGAGCTTGCGGTACTGCTTGTCTGCACATTTGCAGGAAGCGGTGTTTTCTTGGGCACAGATTCTTCTGCAACTGCACTTTCCCCGCCTTCCAAAGTTTCACTGAGTAGTGCAGTGCATATCAACTTTGTAGGAGGAATAGTGCTGGTGGACCGTGGTACAGCACACTTGTGTTTATGCTGGTATTTCTGTTCGGTGTAGTGTATAGCCCATGCACTGTGGTGCATGTAGCACGCCTAATTTTTCACCACGAGATGGGTCTGAATGCTTATGGCATATTCATTGTTCATATTGTTAGGCTGTTGCTGAACTGAAGAAGTGCTGGTGAGTGTACCATCCGGGCGTGCTGCCTTTAAAGTTGCTATGCATGTAGCCTGAATTTAGGCATATAGAGCAATGGTATTCCCACGCATTTATCCAAAATTTCATCGATTCCTAACCATACTGTCCACTTTCAAAAGCTGACAATCTTTCCTCTAGTTCTTTACTGCAGCTAGCAAGTCTTCTTGATTGTACGCAACACTTGTGCATTCAGCGGATCTAGTAACGCAATACTCTACGCCCAGGCGAACTCTTTCGCAGCCACAACTGGTCACTCCGTTTTCGCCTTTCCAACGAACCCTCACCTCACCTCTTGCTCACTTCGGCGAAAGTCGACGTGTGTCTGTTACGCCCAAATAACGAAATAATCGGAAATGGAGGCCTTCGCAATACCGCCATCATCCAGGCTTGCTCGGCCACAGCAGGCCAATGAACCACCCCGTAGCTTGTAAAACTGTTTTCTCAGCCGCCTCTCCCCGCACATTACGTCACCATAGTTGCCAACTGGCCACATTGTTCCCCGTTGAAACTTAGGAATCGCGAAGCCGTCATGAGAGTGGTTTCGCGCGACGCGCTTTTGCGGCCGGCCACCAACCCTGCACTCCCCCCACTTTCTCAGAAGCCTATACCGAATCCGGCGTCCTTATCGAATCCATCCCTGCAAGGCCCGCTTTTCGCCCTAGCGTGCGTCGTCCTCGTCGTACTCTCCCTGCAACTCCTCTCGTCCCCTCGGGAATACCCCAACGGTCATCTTTATGGCGGCGCGGCTGGTAGCGGCGGCCCGTTCGGCAGCAGCGGCGCGGTGCGCAGCGTTCCGTCCCCCCCAGACGATAAGGACTTCAGGGCGTTTATAGCGGAGCAGCAGATCCTGGCGCATGCTAATAACGTGCACAAGGTGACCGCCACGTGGCACTTTCATCCTCTCCGTTCTGGTTGAAAGTGCACGCCCTCCCACCTCTCCCTACCGTTTCCTACCCTTTCCTACCCCTTTCTACCCCTTCCCACCTCTGTGAAAGGCCGCCTTTTGTAAGGGAAATGTTGGAAGGGGGCTTCACGGAGAGAACCTCCGCCGTCGCCTCTCACAGCTAGGCGCCATGCAGCCGCCCAAGCTAGACAGGCTGCAGAGCCAACCTGTGCGTTAAACTTCCACCATACCATTCCCAACCATACTATACCACTCCCATCTCTTGCCCTCAGATGAACCTCCGCCGTCCTCACAGCTAGGCGCCATGCAGCCGCCCAAGCTGGGCATGCTGCAGAGGCAGCTGTGCCATCCTCGTGCCCACCTGTGCTCTGCTCTAGATGAACCTCCGTCGTCGCCTCGCACAGCTCAAGGTCATGCAGCCCAAGCTGGGCATGCTGCAGAGCCAGCTGCCCATCCATTCTCGTTCCCACTGCAGGCTCAAGCTTATCGTTCCAATGCGCCTATATTCCCGTTTCGCGACCTCAGATGAACCTTCGCCGTCGCCTCGCACAACTCAAGGTCATGCAGCCGCCCAATCTGGACATGCTGCAGAGCCAGCTGTCCATCCTCGTGCCCACCTTCCCCTGCCCCAAGGAGGAGCGCGTGGGCGTGTGGGCGGACGGCCGCAAGGTGAGGGGGAAGCATCGAGTTGGGGTCGGGGACATAGAGGGGAAAGGGAAGGGGGCTTTGCGAGTTCTTTGAGTTCCCCAAGCTTTCCATCACTTTTAGGATTCTCAAAAGTGGACATTGAGGGGAAGGAGAAGGGAGCGTTGGTGTACCGTCAATTTCACGGGGGCCTTTAGATTCTCCCTCCTCCGCAGTTCCAGACTCTAGTTTTCCTTTTCATTCCGTAGCTCCAGTTGCTTCTTTCTCTGCAAACCTCGGTCGGCTCATGTGCTCCCATCCCCATCCCATCCATATCCTCTTCCCTCCCCCACCTTTTTTTTCGTTCCCTGTCTTCTCTTCCCTTGTCCACCTTCTCTTCCCATCCCCATTCCTTTTCCCCCCCTGCCTCAGTGGCTGTGCAACATGAAGACCTTTCTGCCAGATAACCCTGTCGTGTACAGGTGGGTAAGGGGTCTGTATGTGCTTGCTCAAGAGACCTCTCGAACGTCTTTTTTGCAGATAATACAGTACCGTAGTAAAATATATGCTTCTTAGATGCCCTTGAGGCTAAGCACGTGTTTTTTGTCACCTTTGAATTTTCCTGCCTCTCACACCCCTTTCACCCTCCATCCCTTCACCTTTCATCCATTTCTCATGCTGCCTCGCCCTTTTCCCCTCGCCCCGTTGCCCTTCTCCCCTAACCCCCTATCCCTTCCCTCATATCCCCATCCCCCCTCTTTCCTCCAATCTACCCTCCCTCCCCCCACTCTTTCCTCCCAGCATAGGGTCAGGCGGGGAATACTCCCTTTGAAAAGGACATATTCTTCAAGTTCCCCCTCACGCGCCCACTCACCTTCGATCCCTTCCTCGATCCCTCCCTTGCCTCCTCCATGCAAGCCCTCTCCTTCCTCCGCTTCCTCCCCATCGGCCTCGCGGGGGCTGGGGTGATCGAGAGAGCGAGAGTGGACCGACCGGGAGTGCAGTTTATGACTGTGGGGGAGGTCATGGGTGCGAATAATCACTCCTATGTGGATGTTTTAAAGGTGGATTGCGATGGGTGTGAAGAGGGGTTGGTGTATGATATCAAGCCAGGGAGGAGGGAGGGTGGGGGGGGGAGGGGCAGGGGATGGGGTGGGGGATGGGAGTGGAGGAGGAGGGAGAGGAGAAGGGGGGGGAGGAGGGGAAGGGAGGGAGGAGGAGGTGTTGGAGGAGTTTAGCCGAGTGAAGCCGTTTGGCAACCCTGCAATTGGTCAGATACTCATTGACTTGCACCAGTGAGTGCGATTGGGTATGGAGTAGGTTGGTGGTTGGGTGGTGGTTGGGCAGGCAGGTAGACGGGGGTTGAGGTGGATACACACGACAAGATATTCGCTAGAGTTGGGATATTTGACCCTGCTTTTGGTCATGTACTCGTTGACCTTGCATTGCGCCAGTGAGTGAGAGTGGGTGGGTGGGCAGGGTGGGTGATGTCAATTGGCGTGCGGGCATATGCTTGTAAGGGTATAGACAACAGGGGGTCTTGATCAGTTTAGCAGACGAGTTTCTGGACTTCAGACGGCCATGCTTTCTGGACGAGTGTCTTTTGTTATGCCCCTGCTTTCCGGGTCTGCTTTTAAGTTGACTCAAAAGCAGACGGCCGTGCCTTCCGGACGAGTATCGTATGTTATGCCCCTGCCTTCCGGACCTTCATTTCCACACACTTGCCACCTCCCAGCGTCAACAATCCCGGCATCACCCTCCCAATGGCTTTTGAATCGACTCAAAAGGTGACTTTTGAGTCTACTCAAAAGTCACCTCCCAGCGTCAACAATCCCGGCATCATCCTCCCAATGGTGCACCACCTGCTTTTGAGTCGACTCAAAAGTGTACCACCTGGAGAGGGCTATTGTAGAGTCGACTCAAAAGATGGACTCATCACACCTGGAGAGGGCTTGCTATCTGCGCGTCCACGCGGAGCTCAAACGCTCATGTGTGGGAAGACAACCCACTTGTGTAATATTTTCCCTGCTTTATGCACCCTTTTCCACTGTTCTTCTTAACCCCCAGCGTCAACAACCCCGGCATCACGCTGCCAATGGTGTACCACCTGGAGAGCGTGGGCTATCTGCTCTTCCACGTGGAGCCCAATGCTCATGTGTCTTGAGACAGCCCACTCATGTCCCTGCTTTGTGAATCCCTTTACCGTGCCCTTATTCCTTCCCAGCGTCAACAACCCCGGCATCACGCTGCCAATGGTGTACCACCTGGAGAGCGTGGGCTATCTGCTTTACCATGTGGAGCCCAACGCTCAGCACCCCGACTGCTGCATTGAGCTGGCGTTCATTCACCAGTCGCTGCTGCAGCCCTGGGGCACGTCGTATGGGGATTATCAGAGGTGGAGGAAGGCAAGGGGCAAATGAAGCATTAGCAACAGAATATTATCCCAAGCGAGTAGCCTCTTGCAACCAATGCTTGGCACCCCGACTGCTGCGTTGAGTTGGCGTTCATTCACCAGGCGCTGCTGCAGCCCTGGGGCACGGCGTTCAAAGACTATCAGAGGTGGGGGAAAGCAAGGGGGAAATGACACCCTTATAAGGGCTTTGTAGGAATGGCTGGTATCGCTGCATTGAGCTGGCCTTTATCCACCAGGCGCTGCTGCAGCCCTGGGGCACGTTGTTCAAAGACTACTTAATCAAAGGTGGAGAATGTGCTCAAAGATTGTGCATCCACGTAATCCTCTGCCCCTGTCGAAGCCCCTGGACAAATTTTGTACCACAATCACATTCAGTGATATGTGCAAGGCAGTTCATAAAGAGCCTTCTCAACCATTAACCATAGGTCTCTATTTGACCAAGCATGTACTTCAGCCTTCACCTGCTAATACAATTTCTTTCAATCATCTAGCAACTCATTGCTAGGGTATTGTGGGTGGGCTTGGACTATTCATTGGTGCATTTTGGTTGGTTGCGCGTTGTAGGATTCACTACAGAAACTCGCGTTCCCTGCTACAATCGAAGCATGAGTCATGACTTCCAACGTCAGCCGGCAATCTCAAGGTCCCTGAATGCATGCACATGCAGATTCACACAAAACGAGCTGAATTTCATCAGTCCATCACTCTCTCACCTCACAGCAAAAAAAAAACTGAATCCTGACAACCACCAGTGATGCGGCCTGGGCTCGGCCATTCGACGACGGCCGTCGACCCTCGCGACCTTCCCTGCCTGCTGCTGAGCCCTGACATGCCACGTTGCTCCGCGTAGCAGCGTTCAAGTCGACTGAATATTGTGTAGCGTCCTCCGTCCTGCCATGAGCTTTAAAGCTCGATCGTCGCCGCCGCGGTAGGCTCGCGTTCCCCTCCTTCGACCTCCTCGCTCTCGCCCAGATCCGCGTCGACGATTAAGGACGTCGTTACGCGCGTCGCGTCCTCCTCGCGCTATAATCTCAGGGCTGACGTCATGTGGTCATGGTGGAAAGACATTCGGCTGCGCACCCTCGTTATAGTCAACATCGCCGCGATTGTAGAGAGGGCGGACGAGGGCGCTTCTTCCTGCCGTTTATAACGAGGTGTGCTTACTGCGAAATCTCCTCCACTAATTGCAACGCGTTTCTTTATTGTAACGAGACCACTCTCAAGTCTTCCGCGAGGGCTATTTCCACTCTTCCCCACCCCAACTTCGGGTCCTTAGGAACCATAAGGCTCTCGTTGTATATTTTTACTCGTTTGTACCTCTGTCCGTTTCTTGTATCTCTCTTAACTCCCTCGTACCTCTTCCTGTCACGCACGCATACCGCGGACCACACATTCCCTTCCCCTACCGCCACCTCACGGTTTAGCTATGCCAGGCATTCCCTTCTCCGCTGCCGTTTTCAACTTCCCCCAGCCAGTTCTCATTCTCGACCTGCAAACCCCTCCCCCGTTTTCTCACCCCCACAGCTGCCCCCATTCTACCCACTTCCCTCCCTCCTTTTTTTCCAGCCGCTCCCTGTTCCCCGCCTTCTTACTTCCTCAGGTGGGCCAAGCCTTTCTCGCGCTGCAAGCCTCTCTCCTCACGCCAACGCACGTTCCCTCCTCCCCCTCCTCCCCCCTCCCCCCCAATCTCCCCCGAGCAGGTGGGGCCAAGCGTTTCACGCGTCCCCCGCAAGCCCTGGGCACTCTCACGCTCGTGCGCGCGCTCGTGCAGGTGGGGGGGCTGAGAGGTGGGGGGGAAATGGGGGGTTGTGGTGGGGAGATAGCATGGCATCTCATGGCATGGTATGGCATGTCTTGGCATGGCGTGTCACCCCCAAGCCCTGGGCACTCTCACTCTCGTGCGCCACTCGTGCAGGTGGGGTGGCGGGGAGGGGAGGGGGGAAAAGGGGGAAAGTGGGGAGGTGAAGGGTTGAATAATCGCGGGTGGTGGGATAGTCGTGGTGCGTTGGTGGTTGGAGCATGTTGGCATGGCATGGCAGTGTTTAAGGGGTGGCATGGCAAATCAAGGTATGTCATAATGGTCGAATTTTATGGCATGACAAGCCTTCACATACCCTCTCGCCCCCTGGCTGGTCCAGCATATGTGCTATTAGCCGACTTAAAGCCCAATATTTTCCTCCGCACCTCTCGCTCCCCAGGCTTTCACCTCTGGCTGGGGCACTGGATGCCGCAAGTGCTTTGAGCTGCCTTCTAATTTCTACTAACTCACATACTCCTCCGTCTCACCATTCCGTATCATCCTTATCTTGCCTGCTGAGCTGACCCCTGCCAGGCCTTCATCTGCCCGCTCGCCCCATGGCTGGCGCAGTGGATGTCTTGAGTGTTTTCAACTCTAGTACGAGCGAGTTGACTTTTGAGTCGACTCAAAAGTCCCCATGGCGGGCGCACTGGATGTCTTGAGTGTTTTCAACTCTAGAACGAGTTGACTTTTGAGTCGACTCAAAAGTCCCCCATGGCGGGCGCACTGGATGTCTTGAGTGTTTTTCAACTCTAGTACGAGTTGACTTTTGAGTAGACTCAAAAGTCCCCATGGCTGGCGCACTGGATGTCTTGAGTGTTTTCAACTCTAGTACGAGTTGACTTTTGAGTCGACTCAAAAGTCCCCATGGCTGGCGCACTGGATGTCTTGAGTGTTTTCAACTCTAGTACGAGTTGACTTTTGAGTCGACTCAAAAGTCCCCATGGCTGGCGCACTGGATGTCTTGAGTGTTTTCAACTCTAGTACCCCATCGCTCAAAGCCCACATGTACCCCATCGCTCAAAGCCCACATGTACCCCATCGCTCAAAGCCCACATGTACCCCTCGTTCCCATCACTAGTTTCCCCCTGCCTCCCCGCCACCCACCACCCCAGGCATTGACGTGTCCCCTCGCCCCATGGCTAGCCCACTGGATGCCGCGAGTGCGAGTTGCTGCTTTCCCCTCCAGGCCCTCCACCTCCTTACTTGCGCTACCTACCTCTCTCCCTCCAACACCACAGGCCTTAACCTGCCCGCTCACCCCATGGCTGGCCCACTGGATGCCACGAGTGCGAGTGATTGCAGTGGGTGCGTTCACATGGGCCATCGCCACTCTGGGCGTTGGCATTGCCCCAATTACTATGAGGTAAGGAGGAGTGAGAGAGTACCTAGAAGCGGTTTTGAGGTGAATAAGTGGGGTGACTTGCGCCTACCACGTGCACTCGATTGCGAGTGATTGCAGTGGGTGCGTTCACATGGGCCATCGCCACTCTGGGGGTCGGCATCGCCACCAACCTACTATGAGGTAGGGAGCAGTGAGGGAGTAAGGTTTTGAGGTGAATGGATCAGGTGACTTGTGTTCACTCACCTACCTACCAGTGCATGCGAGTGCGAGTGATTACAGTGGGTGCGTTCACATGGGCCACCGCCACGCTGGGCGTTGGCTTTGCCACCACCTACTATGAAGTAAGCAGTGACTAGTGGTGGCAGTATGATGTAAATCCCCACTGTTTATCACTCTCACTCAAGGTACCACCTTCAAGGTAACTCTGCACTGCACTCAGCATCTGCTGTGAGGTACCTGAGAAGCTGGTTCCAGTGAATGGGTCATCTTGGGTCATCTCAGCTCTGGCCCTTATCCCACCTCCCCCTTTCCTCTGTGCGCGCCCATTCCCATCCCTCCTTCCTCCCCCCCAGGTGGCGGCATGGAGGGTCTCAACAGATTGGGGCTTGCACTGGTCATCCCATCTCTGGTCCTCCCTTCCCAACCCTCTCTTTCCTTCCTCACTTTCCGGCCCATCCAACCCTGCTCAGTTGGGGTCATGGCGCGGGTCTCAACGGGGTGGGTATAGCCCTGGTCATCCCGGCCATCCAGTGGCTAGTCGCCGATTCAGCCAGCAACAGCACCACCAACTGTTGCTGCCACACCCTTCTTCCTCCACCGCCTCTCTCCTTCCTCTCTTCACCCACACCCCCCCCTTTCCCCCGGTGGCGGCATGGCGGGGTCTCAACGGGGTGGGCCTAGCACTGGTCATCCCGCCATCCAGTCGCTAGTCGCCGACTCAGCCAGCAACAGCACGAGGGGCATGGCGTTCGGCTGGCTGCAGTTCGTCACCAACTTTGGGTTTGCGCTTCACATCTGAGATACCGCATCTCTTGTCCCCACTCCCTCTCTCCTTCCTCCAACTCCCCCCCTCAGGTGGCGGCATGGCGGGGTCTGAATGGAGTCGGCCTAGCACTGGTCATCCCGGCCATCCAGTCGCTAGTCGCTGATTCAGCCAGCAACAGCACGCGCGGCATGCATGTTCGGCTGGCTGCAGTTTGTCACCAACTTTGGCAACATCCTCGATTCACCCTCGGCATCTCCCTCGCCTGCTACACATTCTTCGGCCTCGCTGGCTGGCGCATGGCTTTCATTATAGTCACCGCTGTCAGCCTGGGTTTGGCGGCCATGCTCTGGCTCTTCGCACACCCCGGCTCCCACCACGGTCAAGTGAGTTTTGAGTCGACAACCTGTCATTGCACCACAATACACCCTCGGATTCACCCTCGGCATCTCCCTCGCCTGCTGCGCCTTCTTTGGGCTAGCGGGCTGGCGCATGGCTTTCATTATAGTCACGGTCGTCAGCCTGGCTCTGGCAGCCGTGCTCTGGCTCTTTGCGCACGACCCGGCACCCACCACGGTCAAGTGAGTATTGAGTCGACTGTAGAGTGCATTTAACCCTTCACCCTCGGCATCTCCCTCGCCTGCTACGCATTCTTCGGCCTAGCCGGGTGGCGCATGGCTTTCATCATAGTGACTGTGGTTAGTCTGGGCTTGCCTGCTGTGCTCTGGCTCTTCGCACATGACAGGAAAGCTCTGGCACTTCAGCACATGCGAGAATGGAATTTTACCTCTTTCCTTGCGGGCAACAGACTTTTTGAGTGACGACCCGGGGCAAACTGGAGTGCACGACAAAGCCATTGCAATCAGCACTTTTACACCACCCCTCCTCTCGTGCCACCCACTGCCCCCCTCTTTCCCCGCCTCCCTCTTTTCCATTCTCTCTATCTTTCTAACCTCTCTCCAACCTCTCTCCAACCTCTCTCCCGCCTCTCTCCCGCCTCTCTCCACCAGGTCAATAACGCCTTGACTAGCCTAACTGACGACCCCGGGACACAAGAGGAGCGCACTGTAGAGCCGTTGCTATCTGAAGACCATACCCTACACTTGAAGCAACAGCAGCAGCAGCCCCACCACCACCACCAACAGCAGGAGGAGCAGCAGCAGCAGCAGCAGCAGCAGTCTCAATTTGACGAATCGACACCCACTCCAACCCACCTCCTCCCACCACCGCCTCTCCACATCCTCCCCACACCCACTCTCCCCCACTCCCATCCCACCCACCACTCCCCACTCCTCCCCACCCCCCTCTCCTCCCCTCACTCCTCCACATTCCTCTCAGACGTCTTCAAAGTCCTCCCGAATCCGAACCTTCCAGCTGATCATAGCCCAGGGGTCGTAGGCTCCTTCCCCTGGCAGCAGGCGCATTCTTCCCCATGTGGTTCGAGCTCCTCGGCTTCTCCCATGCTTCCACTGCGGTTCTCCTCTCCGTGTTCACCGTCGCGTGCAGCTTGGGGGCCTGTTTGGCGGGTGGTTTGGGGATGAGATGGTGGCTAGAAGGTGGCCGGATGGGGGGAGGCTGGTGTGTGCGCAGTCAGTGCAGGGTCGGCGGTGGTGCTGTCGACAGTGCTGCTGAGGTTGGTGCCGCAATCGCCCGAGATTTTATGGTGTACATTATGGTGTTGACCCTCATGGGGTTTCTATCTCTGGAATGCTGAATGCTGCGTACCAACAAGTGAGTGTGTTTGGATGCAAGGCAGCAATGCGGGAACAAACAGGCCAGCACCAAGTAAACAGATAGTTCGCTCCTGTGTGTCTTCAGAAGTAGGCCAGAAATGACTGAGTGCGTGATGCCTCACGCGCATGATGACAAGACACATCCCATCCGTAGTTCCTCAAGTTCATCCTTCTCTCTTCTCTCTTTATCTCTTTCACGCTGTCCCTCCTATGTTTGCCTCATTCACTCTCATGTGTCCCCTCTTTCCCCCTTCACCCTTCCCTCTTTCCCTTGCTCTTTCCTTTCCCCTCTACTCCCTCCCCATCTCCCCACGACCCCCCAGCCCCATTTTGCAGAGATAGTCCCTGAGAGACTCCGCATGGACATATACGCCCTCGACCGAACCTTTGAAATGTCCATAGCAGCCTTTGCTCCACCACTGTGGGCTACCTCGCCCAGGCTTGGTTTCGGGTACATCCCGCCCTCGCCCGAACCTGCCGATGCCACTGCTTTGGGCGGTGATAGTAGTAGTGGTGTAAGCAGCAGTAGCTCGTGCAGGCCGCCGCAGCAGGAGCCACGCGAAATGGCTGTGGATGCTAAGAATGCAGAGGCTTTGTCGCTGGGTTTGTTCTGGACTATGGCATTGCCGTTTGCTATTTGCTGTGCTTGCTATGGGTGGTTGTATTGGACGTATCCCAAGGACCCGGATCGCGTTCGGGCCGAGGCTGCGGCTGAGGCTCGGGAAGACAGGAGGTTAGGTGCAGGTGGGGAGGGTAGTGGAGAGGGGAGGTGTTAATTTGCCAGGCCTGTGTACATAAGACAGTATGTTGTTCTTTAGCATGTACTTATAATTTGATTTGCTAGTGCTTAGATTGTTATCTTCTCTAGGTTATATGTCTTTGTTTGTACATGTCTTATCGTGTTCAGACTGTACGTTTGACAGAAGGTCGGTTTATCGAATCCTCCACTCCCTACTTTTCCTAGCCCTTCAGTCAGAAACGGGCAATCCCTTTGCCCTGATCCTCCTCGTTCCCTTTTTTCTTCCACCATTGCCTCAACGCGTAAATCCTTCAAAGCGATTGATGATCATCCCATCCAAACCTCTGGCTATTGCTCCTCAACTCGACGCTAGCCGCGATTCCATCGTCAGGCATTCTCAAGAGTGAACGGTCAATAGATACTTTTGAGGCGCGTCGCAGCGGTTCGTCATTAGCAGTTCGACATTCTTTCGAGGCGCG